GCTGTGGCGATTGATTAGGAAGTTATTGCTCAGCTGTGGAGAGCAATGGAGAGGCAGGATCAGAGGGGGAAGAATTGGGGTAAGGGGGAATTAGAGGGGATGCACAGGAAAAGCATGCAAAGAACGAGCACAGGAATGACTGTCTCGGTGTACCCACGGCACGGTGAGCGGGGACAGCCGCACAGTGTTTTTAATAATTCTCATACACGCCTTGAACGCCTAGAACAGATATATAACAGATTCTCACTAGGACAATTAGCTCACTAGGACGTGCCCACAGGAATGACCATCACTGTGTGCCCACAGGAATGACCATCACTGTATGCTCACAGCACAGCACAGCTCAGCAGAGACAGCATTGTTGCGTGTCGCATACCTGAACGCATCGAATTGACCCATCTGCACCACCGAACGCATCAGCCTGATAAATCTGCCCAAAGCCGCTCTGGTAAAGAACAGCCTCTTACCTGAATGCATCGAATGGACCCATCTGCACCACCGAACGCATTAGCCTGATAAATCTGCCCAAAGCCTCTGTGATAAAGATCAGCCTCTTACCTGAACGCATCGAATGGACCCATCTGCACCACTGAACGCACCAGCCTGACAAATCTGCCCAATGCCTCTCTGGTAAAGATCAGCCTCTTACCTGAACGCATCGAATGGACCCATCTGCACCACTGAACGCACCAGCCTGACAAATCTGCCCAATGCCTCTCTGGTAAAGATCAGCCTCTTACCTGAACGCATCGAATGGACCCATCTGCACCACTGAACGCACCAGCCTGACAAATCTGCCCAATGCCTCTCTGGTAAAGATCAGCCTCTTACCTGAACGCATCGAATGGACCCATCTGCACCACTGAACGCACCAGCCTGACAAATCTGCCCAATGCCTCTCTGGTAAAGATCAGCCTCTTACCTGAACGCATCGAATGGACCCATCTGCACCACTGAACGCACCAGCCTGACAAATCTGCCCAATGCCTCTCTGGTAAAGATCAGCCTCTTACCTGAACGCATTGAATGGACCCATCTGCACCACTGAACGCCACGCATCCTGGAGTTACAACGGCAGGGAGCGCGTCAGAGACCACAAAAGGGTGTAATCACATTAACTAATGTGGCAAAGGTAACACCAAAGAAGCAGCAGTACATGCGGCATCAGCGACCGCAGCAGCAGGAGCAGCAGTATCTGCGGCATCAATGGCAGCAGCAGCAGCAGGAGCAGCAGCAGCAGCAGCAGCAGCAGCAGCAGCAGCAGCAGCAGCAGTACCTGTGGCATCAGCGGCAGCAGCAGCAGCAGCAGCAGCAGCAGCAGCAGCATCAACAGTACCTGCGGCATTAGCGGAAGCAGCAGCAGCAGCAGCATCAACAGTACCTGCGGCATTAGCGGAAGCAGCAGCAGCAGCAGTATCAACAGTACCTGTGGCATCAGCGGCAGCTGCAGCAGCAGCAGCAGCAGCATCAACAGTACCTGTGGCATCAGCGGCAGCTGCAGCAGCAGCATCAACAGTACCTGTGGCATCAGCTGCAGCAGCAGCAGCAGCAGCAACAGTACCTGTGGCATCAGAGGCAGAGGCGCCCCACACTGCAGCGGTGCTGAGGGAGAGCGTCGACACAACCCAGCGCCGGTTGTACCGATTCTTCTCCTCCTTGTGCTCCTGCCTTCCCTGCTGCTGCTGCTGGCTGAGGGGGAAGGGCAGCGCTGGGTGGTGCGAGAGCGAGGAGCGCATGGCGAGAACTCGCAGGGACCCATCCTCCATGGCCATCACCAGGGCGCTGCCGTGCCATGGGAGAACGAGAAAGGCAGGAAGATGAGAAGTGGGATGACTTCTGAGGTGTAAGAGTGAGGAGGAGCGCACGGCAATGCCTCGCAGGAACCCATCCTCCATGGCAGTCACCAGGGCCCTGCCATGCCATGGGAGGAGGCATCGAGAGAACGATAAGAGGAGGAACAACTGAGAGGTGAGACGACTCCTGGGGTGCCAGCGAAAAACTGTGAGAGCGAGGAGCAGCGCATCGCAATGACTCGCAACGATCTCCTCCATGGCAATCACCAGGCACCTGCCATGCAGCAATGAGGTGAAGAGAAGAGCACGAAGAATGGTTGATTGAGGTAAGCAGGACAGATACAGAGGGTTACGATCGTGGAAGCAATTGCTTGCCATGTGCGTGTGAATCACCGCAATTGCTTGCCATGTGCGTGTGAATCACCGCAATTGCTTGCCATGTGCGTGTGAATCACCGCAATTGCTTGCCATGTGCGTGTGAATCGCCACAGAACAGTGGATCTTACACATATTTTTTTTGAGAATTCTCAAAAAACATGTGCGTGTGAATCACCGCAGAACAGTGGATCTTACACAGAATCTGTGTGTCAAGCACTCTAGTACGCCGGAGCTCATAGCCATGTCAATCAGTGCGGAGAAGTGGGCCATTGGCCACCATTTGCTAGCTGATTTCTGCGCAATGGGTGTATTCTAGGCAATATGATTCGTAGTAATGGCAGGTCCATCAAGGGGATAGCGGGTTTTTATGCACCTCAGAAATCGCTTTTGAGGAACCTCAATGTGTGCAGCGTAGGCAATGCGATTCCTGGTAATGGCAGGTCCATCCATCGGGTGCAAAACTGTCGGGCAATGGGGATGGTGGGGGGGTTCACACCGTAGTGGGGTGCAGAAGTGCAGTTGCAGCACTCCGTGCCTGGAGATGGTGGGTGTCTCGTACGCCGGCTGAAACACATCCCTGACATGGTAACATGGTAGCATGGATGGCAGCATGGCAGCATGACGGACGGTGACAAGGCAGGGGGTGGACAGGCAGGGTGGGGAGAGGGAAGCAGGGGCGGGGGGTGGGTGGGAGGGGAGCACAGTTAACGTACGAAGTGACATTCTTGCGCGCATCCTTGTCAGAAATAGAGCTGGAATTGATGCATTAGTAATGAGCTCAAGGCTCTATAAGTACAGCAGAAATGCGCAAGGTATGGATGGGGAGGGAATCAGGGGCAATTCCAAGGGGATCAGGGGCAATCCCAAGGCAATCTCCAATTGGTGGGTTGGAGATTGCTTGGTGATAACATTTGGGTTTGGTTGGGATGTAGGAGTACACCCAACCAAACACAAAGTGCAAACTACACTAAACTAGGATATAAAAAGTACAAGTACAAAAGGTGAGATTGAGGGCTAACACTAACAATCCAAAGATCAGTTGCTTCAGATAAACGTTCAAACAAGTAACAGATTACAGAACAATAAGTGTGACATGCTTGTGCAGTGGTTTTGCAGAATGATGGAATATCGATTGGCATCACAGGATGTGCACCAGTGCTGCCCCACCACCCACACCCCCCCACCAACGATTAATTGCGCCTCATCCCACTGCGCCTCACTACACCACACCTCACCGGAGGTCCCAGAACTTGAGGATGCCAGACTGGCTGCCCACAATCAGCACCGTGCTCTCCTCCCCTTCATCCACCGCCGCCTCTCCACCCTCATCCTCTCCTCCCTCATCCTCTCCTCCAGAACCCAAATCCTCCTCCTCTTCCCCTTTTCCATCCGTATCCTGTTCTCCCTCCTCCCCCTCCTCGTCCTCCTCCTCCTTCCCCTTCCCCCAATGCTTACCGTTCCTCGCCTCCTGCCCGTCCCTCATCCCCTTTCTCCCTGTCCTCGCAACAGCAGTCAGTGAAGGCGTGTTGGGTTTAGGTGGCAGGGGCGTGGGCAGCCAGGCGAGGGAGCGGATGAGAGCTGAATCCGCACGGAAGGACAGGATGGGGTTGTGTGAGAATGGCGTTGGTGCAGCGGGTGCCGGTGCCAGTGGTGGTGGCCGTGCCTTGAGTCCTGATACCATTACTGGAGTGTTGAATATGAGGTGATCAAGCTGCAGTCGCCACACGAGCACCTGAGGAGAGGGGAAGGACAGGATGGGGTTGGGGTTGTGTGAGAATGGCGGTGGTGCAGCGGGTGCCAGTGCCAGAGGTGGTGCCTGTGCCTTGGGTCCTGAGGGTGCCTGTGCTGCTGTCGGTGCTGGTGGTATTACTGGTGTATTGGCTACAAGGTGCTCAAGCTGCAGCCGCCACACAAGAACCTGCGGAAGGGGAGGGAGACGGGGAGAGGAGAGGGAGGGGTGGTGAGACGGAGTTGGTTTTTGAGATTTCTCAATAATCAACGTGTTGCGGATGGTGGGGTGGAACCAGCATGCAGGGAATAGTTTTGAGAATTCTCAAAACTAATCTCAAACAAGATGACTTTTGAGTCGACTCAAAAATCTCAAACAAGATGGTGGAACCAATGCCCACCTTCCCAATGCAGGGAATGATATACATTTGTGGGGGCACAGAAACTAGAGCAAGGGCTGAATGATCAGCAATGAATGATCAGTAATGAATGATCAGTAATGAATGATCAGTAATGAATGATCAGTAATGAATGATCAGCAATGAATGATCAGTAATGAATGATCAGTAATGAATGATCAGTAATGAATGATCAGTGATGAATGATCAGCAATGAGTGATCAGCAATGAATGATCAGTAAGATTTCTAAATTTCCTAACCGACAAGAGGAAGACGGCAAATATCTCCCATGACAGAAAACAATCAGCATCGCAAGAGAAACACTGACACAAGAGACTTGTATTAGGATGTCTCGTAAACCACTACTTGCCATGAGAACCATCGGAGCACACCAAGCCGGGAGGTAAGCAGGCAAGAGTTCCAGACGGGGAGGGTACTTGATAACATATATCCTATGAGACATCTAAAAAAGAGCAGCGTCGCAAGAGAAAGAATGACGCAAGAGCGGGCATGCATTTTTGAGTCGACTCAAAAGTCAGCTCAGAAGGAATGACGCAAGAGCGGGCATGCATTTTTGAGTCGACTCAAAAGTCAGCTCAGAAGGAATGACGCAAGAGCGGGCATGCATTAGGATGTGTCAGAATTGCTAGTCGAAATGACACCTATCAGAACACACCAAGCGAGGAGGTAAACAGCCAAGTGTTACAGGTGGGGAGGGTCATTACGGACGGAACCATCCTGGAAGCCGGCAGCAAGGAGGTCGGTGGCGCGATGTGGGGAGCATGATGTGGCAGGAGAGGAAGCAGGAGAGGCGGCAGGAGAGGAGGCAGGAGAGGCGGCATGAGAGGCGGCATGAGAGGCTGAATCCACCTTCCACGCGAGCTCGCAGGGGAGCCTGGGACAATGGGAGAGGATGGGGAGAGGATCTCCGATACAACGTGTTAGAAACAATGTGCTTGCCTTGCCTGCTGCCATGTGTTGGTTTGATGGACACACATGCGGGTGGAATGGCAGCACCTGATTGGGTGATGCGCTGGCTTCGGCTGCCACTTAAAAGAAAAGACAACCTTTGAGACGTTTCATAAGTCACCTTGATATGCCCGTATATATACCGGATGGGACTGGCATTAAAAGACGGCTTTTGAGATGTCCACCAAAGTCACCTGGTGGGGCCATGGGCTGGGTTGGACTGCCACTGGAAGACGGGTTGCAGAGTGAGCAGAGGGCCGTGGGGAGCCGGTTGGAGCAGCCATGGCGCCTCGTGATTGTGCTGCTGCTGCTGCTGCTGCTGCTTCTGCTGCTGCTCGTGCTGCTTTTGGTGCTGCTGTTTAATGCCTTGCCACCGGCTGCTGTCCTGCTGTGGCAGTGGCACGTGATAGCTGCCGTGGGGAGATACAGAAGGCAGGGGAGGGGCAGCGAGAGGAGCACGAAAGGTGGTGGCATCTGGTCGAACGAATCAAACACATGAATGTCAGGCCTAAAAAAGGAGGATGGAAACAAAACGAATGACTGCAGTCACTACTGCTGACCCACCTTCCAGTGCAAATTTAGGTGCTCCAACCATCAACTCGCACTGGAACAGTGCAAACCCTAAACCCTAAGACCCCTGCATCTCACAAATTACATTGCCCCCAAGTTACTAGCCCTCATTCTCACAATCACTCACACTGCAACTGTGCCATCTCCCAAGGCAGCCGCCAGCAACCCAAGACTCTCCTCTCCTCCTTGACCTGCCCTGCTGTCTCGCCCGCCAACCAGCGGCCGCCACCTGGCACAGCGAGTGAGTCCGCCTTGGTGTGCAATCCCCAGCACCATCTGCGCCTGAGGCCCTCCTGCTCTCTTGCTCCTCCCCTCTGCCCCTTCTTCTCTCCCTCCTCCCCCACCTCCTCCTTCCCCTCTTTCTCCTTCTCCTCCTCTTCCTCCTCTGCCTCCTGACCCTATCCCTGTATCCCCACCCTCCCCTCTCTCCCATCTCATTTCCACCTTCCTCTCTCTCCCATCCCACTCCACCCGTTCCCACCCTCGCGAACCGAGCCCCATATCCCCAGATTTCCTTTTCACTCCCACACTGCTCCCCCCGGCACTTTCCTGCCTCTCCCCAACACCTCCTGCTTCTCCGCTCGTGGCATCCCCGCCCTTTCCCCTCCCCCTCCCCTTACCCCTCCCCCTCCCTCGCCCTCTCCCTCTCCCTCTCCCGCTTTCTACTCCTCTCCCCGTACCTCTCCCCGCCCCTCTCCCCCTCCGCCCCCCTCTCCCCCTGCCCCTTCCGCTCGCCAGCATCCACCAGGGCAAACTCCCCTCCACTCCGCCCTCTCCTTTCCCCTCCCCTTTCCCCCCGCCCTCCCCCTCCGCTTCCCCGTCCCCCTCCGCCAGTCTAACCGCCCACACCTGCACCAGCGCAGGTCCGCACAGGGGGACGCCAATGGGGGAGAATGGGCGCAGATGGGGATGAGAGGCGACGGCGAGGTACTGGGTGTGACTGTAACGAGGGAGAGGGCACCAATCAACGGCCCAGATTGGGCCTCCGACAAACATGGCGAGATCGTGGCTGATGCGCAGTGCCTCCTCCCCTTCCGCTGCTGATTCCGCCCCCAGCCGCTGCTGGTTTATCCCCGTCCCCTTTCCCTTTTCCTGCGCCAGTCTCCGCTTTTCTTGCGCTGCCGTTTGCTTTCCCTCCTGCTGCTTCCGCCCCCCCTCCCCCTGCGCCTGCAGCGCTCCCCGCTCCGCAAGCTCGCGCCGTCCGCGCACCTCCCGCTGCACCGCGTCTAGCGCCACGCAGCCGAACAGCGGCGTGCGGAAGCGGCAGCGGAAGTTCGGCGCAGCGGGAGAAGCAAGCGCGGGGGACAGGAGCGTGGATCTATCCTCGCCATTAGTGTCTTCGTCGTTAACGGACAAGACGGGGGACGAGAGGGCTAAGGCAGCGAGATACGGCGATAGGGGAGAGTTTTGGGGAAGAGATGGAGGGGCAACCAGGGACGGCTGCGAGGTCTCCATCGAGTCCCACGCGATTTAGCTAAACACTTGTTGAGTGCGAGAGGACAGTGAATTTGCATTCCCATATTACAAAAGCCCGACCCTGAGAGACATATGTATGCGCGCTATCGAGTAACGCGTTTCCACCAGAAGAAGAACGTCAGACTACAGTGCGGTTCTCCACATCAACTACTTTACAGTACCTGACCTCCAGCCTCACATTACATGCCTGCAGTTGACAGACCGTAATAATTGGCCGGCGGAAAAACCGTTTGGTTCTGGAAGTTCCTCCTTCCTGGCAAACAAACCAAACCACGAAACTTTCGTCTCCCCGCCAGCAGCCTCAGCCGAACCAGATCCAAACCATAGGGCCAGGCTGCTACACGAGCGTGATGCTCCTCAACTACACACCAAGACGGCTGCTCCACACCGCACCTGTGTGGTTCGGTTCTGTTTGTCAGTCGGTTTGTGGGCAAGACAGACGGTTTGTGCGTGGAAGCTGCGAGAAGGCGAAGCTGTTGAACAAGAACGACCACGCCCACCGCTGGTTGGTCAAATGATGTGGTCCGCCGGCGTTCGTCCGATTGAACTGCACGAAACTCGGCCACACGATGCAGCAGAAGCAGGTACTCCTAACCGTGTACACCTCTACCAGTCACAGGTTCGGTCACCCTCCCAAGCCAAGCTTGAATGTGTTCAGCCCTGGCAAGATCTCGTCAAGCTTTCCGTGACTCCGTCTGTCCGTCTCCTCCCCCCCACGCCCGCGCTGCTGATTTCTGCCACTGCCACCAAGCTCCACTCAACACAACCATCCACGGTGCATCTCTTGGGTATCCTGGGGAATTCCAGTCAGCAGCAATCATTTCATGTGTTGTCCTCTTTCCGTGCCTTTTTGCCTTGGGAACTCGATTACCAGTAGGAACCTTTTATCTACTTGTCGAGTTGCGGTTTTGGGGTGATGCTTGGCTTAGCTTGATGGTGATGGCTGCTGTACGGTCAGAAACGAGAGTTGACAACGTTTCAATGGCGGATTTGCCAGATCGCGTTCAGTCAAGCCCAGCCATGGAGGAGCAGAACACCTTCGTGGACGACGAGTGGGCGTCGCTCTTACTCGATTCATCAGCCGTGCCTCTCGCGGACATCGATATTTCAGCTTTTGCCAACCTATCAAGCGATATGCTAGAGCCGTTCCGCGACGAGACTACCATACCGCAGGATGAAGCAGGAGCAGCTGTTGACGTGGAACTCGGAAACCGGTCGTTTAGCGAACCGTTTCCGTTGAACACAACCGACGCGCTTTTTTGCGATGAAGGTGGCGATATTCGCACAGCCGGTGGGTCGATGCTAGTCGATACGCCTCCTAGCGGCCGGTCGTCACCCGAGCCGTTAGCTTCCGTCAACGATCACGGCCTGCCGTATCTGGTGCAAGGAGGTAGCCATGGCGCCGACGGCAGCAGCGACGGTGACTGCGCCAGTGGTGACTGTAGAAGCGGTGATTGTGGGAGCGGTGGCTGTAAGGAGGGGAGCAGTCAGGTTGGGAGTCCGTGGCATCAGTCAAGTGCCATGTCAGCAGTTCCGTTTGCTGCTGCTGCTGCAGCTCCGCCGTGTGCCGCTACCCCTCCGTCGGCTACAGGCGTGGTGTCAAGCATGGGCGGATTATACGCCAGAATGTTGCCTTCGTCTCAGAATTTGGGGAGTACGGTGAAGCAGGAAACAGTTTTAGCTCAGCAACAGCACATGACGACTCAATTGGCGATGCAAAGTGTTCCAGTACAGGGTGTGCCTTTTCCGGGGCCTGTGAGTCCCTGTTTCCAGCAGCAGCAGCAGCAGCAGCAGCAGCAGCAGCAGCAGCAGCAGCAGCAGCAGCAGCAGCAGCAGCAGCAGCAGCAGCAGCAGCAGCAGCAGCAGCAGTATCGCTTGCAAAAGCAGCAGCAGCGCCGGCAGCAGCGGCAGCAGAAGCAGTTACAGAGGCAGCAGCAACAACAGCAGCAAGGGAATACATCATGGGTGGGTGGTGCGTCAATGGGTTGCTATCCCGCTCCATGCTCGAATCCGACTCTCCCCATTCCTACGACTTCACCAGCCTCCTTCCAAATTCCCACAGCACTGGATGCTGCCACGTGTACGGTTGCAAACGGCGTCCTTTCCCCTGGAAACGCTAGTTCTGGGAACGTTCAAAAGGAGTGCGAAAGCGGGGGAGCAGAGGCGCGGGGATCGGTTGCTGGTGGTGGGAGTGGCGCTGCCGTTGCGGCGGAAGATGCGGGCAGCGAGCCGAGCGAGGGGGATGCGGGCGGGGAGGGCGGAGAGGGGGAGGGGGAAGGGGAGGGGGAGGGGAGGGATGCGGAGACGGAGAAGCGGGAGGCGAGGCTGATTAGAAATCGGGAGAGTGCGCAACTTTCGCGGCAAAGAAAGAAGGTATGCAGCCTCGCCTCGCACTCGATCAACGTCAAGTTCCGTTCGTGCGCAATTCAGCTGCTTGACGCCCGCATCATCGTTCTCGCAACACGCTATGTGAATCCCAACAACTCTCCCCCCTTTAACCCTTTCCCCCTTCCCCATCCTTCTCCCCCGTTCCCCCGGCAGTACTACATGGACGAGCTGGAGGCGCAGATCCGCACCATGTCCGCGGCGGTGGCGGAGCTCAACTCCGCCGTCGCGCATCTCACCGCGGAGAATGTCAGCCTCCGCCGCCAGCTCGCCTTCTTCTACTCCTCCCCTTCCGCCGCGTCCGCCGCCGCTGCCGCTGCAGCAGCTGGAACTGGAGCTGCTGCAGGGTCGGCGGGTGCGTTAGGTTCGGGAATTGTCGCATCAGGCCCGGCACGAGGTTCGGGTAGACGCAGAAGGGGAGGTTCGGCAGCAGCGGCTGTAGCGCCTCCCAGTGCACTCTCGCCCGGTCTTGTTCCTCCGATCCTGGGAGGGTTGGCTGGGATTGGAAGCATGGGGGGAATAGGGTTACCACTCGGGGCGTTAGGGTTACGCGGTTTGTTCCCCCCCGCTCCGCCTGTCCCGATTCCGAAGCTGAAGAACGTGAGCCGGCCGGAGTCCGCGCGCAAGAAAAAAGGCGCGCCTGGGGGGAGTGGCGCGAAGGCGAGCGGTGGGGAGAAGGACAGGGGCGCGAAGAAGCAGAAGATGGAAGGAGATGCGCTTGTGGGTACCACGAGAGCTGCGGATACTACGGAAGCTGCTGCCACTCCTGCTGCTTCTACTGGCGTAGCAGCTACAGCAGCTGCCACCGGGCCTGTCAGGCCCTCCTCGCCACCCCGTGCTGTCTCCGCCGCCAAGGCACCCGCTCTCGCCCTCGCCATGTTCGGTTTCCTCCTCATCCTCTGCCCCTTCCTGCCGCCCAGCGGCGAACTGACACGTGGCGTGGCGCCGGCGTATCCAGGCTGGCAGAGCGGCGTTACGAGCTGGCAGGGCAGCGGGGCCGGTAGTTGGGAGCAAGTGGCCGGGGCCTGGCGCGAGGGATGGCGTTGGTGGGGAGGTGGCGCGCAGAGGGGCGCAGGGAGGGGAGGGGTTTTGCAGGGAGAAGAGTGGGGAGGAGGGTTGGGAGGGGGTGGGTCGTTGAGGCCAGGAGGGCGGGTGCTGCTGGGTCTGGGGGAGGAGGAGGAGGGCGGGGAGGGGGGGAGGCATGCAGTAGGAGGGGACGGAATGGGCGTGTGGTGGAGGGACAGAGGAAATGGCAGCATTAGCGGTTCAGTACCACAGCTGCAGCATGGTCAGCACTCGTCTTCTCTGCACTCCTCTTCCCTGGGCGCGTCGGTTTTGAACCCTGTGTGGAGGCACAGGGTGGTGAGCGACGCTCGGGTGGAGCAGCATGCTGTTGACAGGCAGCAGCGGCGGTTCCCTGCCTTCGCAGCAGTGTCACGAGGCCAGGTGCCCAACCTCACAGCCGGCAGGGCTGCAGCAGACAGGGTTACAGCAGATAGGCCTAGAGATGGCAGGGGTGCAGCAGAGAGAGCGAGAGCGGCAGGCAAGGCCCTTGTGCCGTGGCGCCAGTGGTCCCCTGCAAGCACGCTCAGGAGCCAGTCAGCAGGCACTGCGAGAGGTGGGAGAGGTGGCAGTGGTGGCAGCGCTGGCAGCGGTGGCAGCAGTAGCAGCAGTGGCGCTTATGGTCCGCGGGTCAGTGGGAGTGGCAGCGATGGCAGTGCCTCTGCAGGGCTGAGGGCTGGGGTTGGCGGTGGTGGTGGTAGAGTGGCGGGTGCGCTACCAGGAGCAGCAGCAGTGGAGGGTTCATTGCCGTGGGATCAGCAGCACTGGCAGCAGTGGCTGCTGCAGCACAGCTCAGGTGAGGAGGACGCCGGAGCATAGGGTAGGTAGGTGTTTGCATCAGCAACATGGGCATGGGATGGCCCTGTGTGCTATCAGTCAGGTTTTGGTCCTCCTTTCATCATTCCATCCCTCCCCTGGTCTTTTCGCGTGGTCAGATTGACACTTTGTTTCCTGAATCATGTTTCTTTGTCCCCCCCTTCCCACCCTGCTCTGCCTGTTGTGGTTTCAGGCCCTCTGTTCCAGTCGCATACATGCACGGAGCTCTTCCGGTTTGACTCCCATCCAACCCAAGCGGCGCAGGAGGGGGAGGCACAGGATGGGGCAGGAGAGGCAACGACACATTCAGCAGGCAGCAGCAGCAAGAGGAACTCATCTGGTGGCTGTGCAGGCAGCGGCAGTGCAAACTCAAGTGCAACGGACAGAAGCAGAAGCAGTGGGGGCCACATTCCGGGTTCCTCGCATCTCAACTCCGCCACAGCTTCCGCCAGAACGACCACCAGCTCCGGCAGCAGCAGTAGGGTCACTGAGGAGACTAAGCCCTTCTCGCCCGTGCCTGTACCTGTGCCTGTGCTGTCTCGCCGCATGTTCCTGCGGAGGCGATATTTGAACGAGCTGCCGGCGTCAAAGCAGGCCATTCCTCTGCCTGACTCCAACCAGGCCATTCCCCTCCTGCCTCCCACTCACGACTCCCATGGGGTTGTGAATACAGGAGGTCGGCACAGCGGCGCCAGCAGCACGACGAGTGTTGATGTGGGCAGCAGCTTGGAACACAATGCAACTACTGAGGGGAGTCCGATTCGGTCGGTCCCAGTTGCAGTGCCTGGTCAGCAGCAGCAGAGTGGGTTTGGCCGGCAGAGCGCGTTCGCACAGCCTGAACCGGTCGTTGTGTCGATTCTCTCGGGCTTTGATGCAAGTAGCGTGGGAAGTTTTTTCCAGAGTGGGACGCGGGGATTCGCTGCAGGATTTGCCGGGCCGGATGGGGGTGTGGGGTCAGAGAGAGTGAATGCAGGGCGAACGGGCAAAGGTGCGGAGGAGGTGAGTGGAGGGATGGGTGGAAGTGTTGTAGTGATGGTGACTAGTGGGGGGAAGAATGTGGCTTATGCTTGTGCTTTAGGTGGCTCTAAAGGGAAGAGCAAGGTCGGTGGGCTTGTACAGGCACGGTCTAGTTAGGCGGCTACTAGTGCGCTGGATTTTGCTTGAGCGTTTTTTATTTTGTCCAGTTTTGCAATTTTGCTTTCTCGACTCATGAATTTTGCAGACGCCAAGCTAGCAAAATTATGCTGAATGTTCACCATTGGCTAATACACATGATCTGCCAATACCAGTTTGAATAATCAGGAAATGAAGTTACTGTAACAGCACGAGCTATTATGTACATCTCACACCTACAACTAATCGCGCACAATGTACGCGTTTGTGGCTGTTCACCAGAACCCCGCTCTTTCGAGCTCGGCATTTAGGGTTTTCCACCAGCTCCTTGTTGCTCCTTTTCTGCTCGCAGGCCTTCGGGCCATCTTTATACAAGTGCCTGTTTGCTTCCGCTCTCCACGGAAGCTGTAGCAAAGGCGGTTCGCGAATTGCGAATCGCGATCGTCCAGGCCGCAGTAGTTTTTCTCCTGTTCGCTTAGCTTCGTTCTTTCTTCCTCGTTCGCCCGTCCCTTACAACTCGAGCGGTCTTTGAAGGTTGTCGGTCAATCTCGTCCGTCGCCTTTTTAGGCGTCTCGAACACCGTCCTTTCGACCGTCCGATCCAGCATATCAGACCGCCACGATGGTGCAGTATAATTTCAAGCGGATCACGGTGGTCCCCACCGCCAAGGACTTTGTCGACATCGTTTTGTCCAAAACGCAGCGCGGCACGCCGACGGTGATCCACAAGGGCAGCGCCGTTAATAGAATCCGTCAGTTTTACATGCGCAAAGTCAAGTTCACGCAGCAGACGTTTCACGACAAGCTCACGACGATTCTCGACGACTTTCCGCGGCTCGAGGAGATTCATCCGTTCTATGGCGACCTCCTTAACGTCCTCTACGATAAGGACCATTACAAACTCGCGCTTGGACAGGTAAGGGAATGTGGGATAGAGGAAGAAGGGGAATGACGGACAGCTGCGGGATTTGGGGTTGGGGTTTGGGTGAAGAGGGGTTTTACGAAATGAGCATGACAGGTAATTGGCTGGGCTCACTGCGTTCGTGGATTCGCGCAATTTCAAGATGTTGCAAATCTATCCGAAAGATACTCGAATTCGTGTTTCCGGGTTTTCTTGTCCCCCCTTTTATCCTTGAACGTTACTTATTCCCTATTTTTCCAATCAAATGAGCGGCGCACTGTGAATGATTGACCGCGCGGCCAATGAGTATGTGGGACTGCTCGATTATCTCTGAGTGAGATTTCTTCTCGCTCTTCTTTCCCCCTGTCCCCGCAGGTGAACGTGGCGCGCGGAATCATCGACCGCATTACCAAGGAGTACGTGCGCCTGCTTAAGTATGGCGACTCGCTGTACCGTTGCAAGCAGCTCAAGCGGGCCGCGCTCGGTCGCATGTGCACGCTCATGCGCAAGCAGGGCCCGTCGCTCGCGTACCTCGAGCAGGTGCGTTGGATGCGCTAACTCGAGCACGTGCGTTGGATGCGCTAACTCGAGCAGGTGCGTTGGATGCGCTAACTCGAGCAGGTGCGTTGGATGCGCTAGCTCGAGCACGTGCGTTGGATGCGCTAACTCGAGCAGGTGCGTTGGATGCGCTAACTCGAGCAGGTGCGTTGGATGCGCTAGCTCGAGCACGTGCGTTGGATGCGCTAACTCGAGCAGGTGCGTTGGATGTGCTAACTCGAGCAGGTGCGTTGGATGCGCTAGCTCGAGCAGGTGCGTTGGATGCGCTAGCTCGAGCACGTGCGTTGGATGCGCTAGCTCGAGCACGTGCCTTGACTGTTTTGATTCTTATACCATACCTGTTTTCGAACGAGCGTGGGCAAGAGCTCGTTCGATCTTTTTTGAAACGCCGTCTTCTTTATTCCTCTCCGTCCCTTCATTCATCTTTACACCAGGTGCGGCAGCACATGTCGCGCCTGTCCTCCATCGACCCCAACATGCGCGCCATCCTGTAGATAGGTTATTTTTGAGACGTCTCAACAATAACCTATCTACACGTGGCTCAACATGCGCACCATCCTGGTGTGCGGGAACCCAAATGAGAGCAAGAGCTCGTTCCAACTGCTGCACGATCCTGCTGACTTGATTCCTCTCCCCCTTCACTACACCAGGTGCGACAGCACATGTCGCGCCTCCCCTCCATCGACCCCAACACGCGCACCATCCTGGTGTGCGGGTACCCGAACGTGGGCAAGAGCTCGTTTGTGAACAAGGTGACGCGCGCGGATGTGGAGGTGCAGCCGTACGCCTTCACCACCAAGTCGCTCTTCGTCGGCCACACGGACTACAAGTACCTGCGCTGGCAGGTGAGAATGAGAGGGGTGCTGTGGGTTGGGTTGGGTTGGGGTGGGGTGGGGTGGGGTGGTGAGCAGCAAGGTGAGGTGACGCGAGCTGGATGTGGAGGTGCAGCCGTACGTACGCCTTCACCACCAAGTCGCTCTTCGTCGGCCACACTGACTACAAATACCTGCGCTGGCAGGTGCGTATGGTGAGGAAGAGAGGGGGTTCGAGGAGGGGTGGGAGGGGAGGGGGGGATAGGGTGTCATTAACCCAAAGTACTGCTACTGTCTGTCTGTCTGTCTGTCTGCCTGTATACCACGCCTTCATTCACTCCTACTCCCCCTTGGCCCCTTCCCTTCTACTCTACCTGCTGCTGTTTGTGGAGAAACAGCAGCAGGACCTGAGGGATGGTGAAGGGGTGCAGGCAGGTCTGCTCTTCCTCCTGCACTGCACCCCTTTACCATCCCTCAGGTCATCGACTCACCCGCATCTCCTCTACCATCCATTGGAGGAGCGCAACACCCTTGAGATGCTCGCCTGGTTTTGAAGCGCCTCAAAACCCCTTGAGATGCTCGCCGCGACGGCTCTGGCGCACCTGAAACTCATTCCCGCGTCCCCTTGACTTCCTCCCTCCATCCCCTTACTCCTTCCCGCTGCTCCTGGTTCTCTTGCCAACAGGTGATAGACACGCCCGGTATCCTCGACCATCCACTGGAGGAGCGCAACACGATCGAAATGCTCGCCGTGACGGCCCTGGCGCATCTGAGGGCCGCCGTGCTGTTTGTGGTGGACGCGTCTGGCAGCTGCGGGTACACCCTCGAGCAGCAGTCAGCGCTTTTCAACTCCATTAAGGTCAGTTGCATGCGTGCCCTGATGACAGGGTAGGAGGGCGACAGGGTGACAGGGTGACAGGGTCAGCAGTGGTGGGTGCTTTTCAACTCTTTTAAGGTCAGTGTTGCGCTAATAATAGTTGACAAGGAAAGCAGTCCAGCCAAAAAAACCAGCTCGTCAGTTTCAACCAATTTCCGCTCTTTCTGCGTATCTTTCCTCAATTATTCCCCATCCTCTTATTTTATTCCCTCCTGTCCCTTTTCTACCCCTCCGCTCCTCCCTCTCCCGCCATTCATTCAACCCATCCGCGTTACAAACAGCCCCTCTTCCTGAACAAGCCGCTGATGGTGGTGTGCAACAAGGTGGACTTGCAGCCGCTGGAAACCCTCTCAGAAGCCGACAGGAAGATCCTTCAAGACATGGCCGCTGAAGCCGCCCGCTGCGGAGGCCCCGGCATCGCTCCTCCTCCTGCTGCTGCCGCTGAGGGAGGGGAGGGGGCGATGGAGGCCGTGATGGGTGACGGTGATGGCGCGGGGTGTCTGCTCACCATGAGCACCATGACTGATGTCAATGTGGCTGCTGTCAAGAACGCTGCTTGTGAACGACTGCTGCAGGTGATTGGGGTGATAGAATGTTGAATGTCAATAAAGAATTGCAAACAAGTGCCGCGGGCCGTTTTTGTGCCCCGTCCTTTCCCGTGACCTCCCCTTCCTCCCTCCTGATCCCTCCTTCCAGATGCGTGTGGAAGCCAAGATGCGCAGCAAATGAGTGGACGATGTGGCAATTCAAATCCGCGTGGCCTTGCCTTCCGAGGCGCGCAAGCTGGAGAAGCACTACCATGAGGAGGAGCTGGGCGCTTCTCGCTCGTTTCCTCACCCCTCCCGCTCCTCCTTCCTCCCAACCTCGCCTCCTTCCCGCCTTCCTTCTCCCTCCCTTTCTTCCCACCAGATGCGCGTGGAAGCCAAGATGCGCAGCAAGCGAGTTGAGGACGTGGCGAACCGAATCCACGTGGCCATGCCGCGCCCGCGAGACAACAAACCCCGCCCGCCAGTCATCCCGCAAGCAGTTCTCGACCGGCAGGCCAAGGGCATCAAGCCGTCCGAAGGCCGCAAGCTGGAGAAGGATTATCAGGAGGAGATGGGCGGTGCGGGCGCCTACGTCGCGGATCACACGCGGCCGTACCTGCTGGGCGACGACACGTGGCGGCACGACGTGGTGCCGGAGATCATGGACGGGAAGAACATTGCTGATTTCGTGGATGCAGATATCCTGGCGCGGTTGGAGGAGCTAGAGCGGGAGGAGTGGGAGATGGAGCAGCAGGCGGAGGGGGTTGGCGAGGGCGAGTGGGGCGAGGCCATGGATGATGAAGAGGAGGATCTGGCACCAGAGGAGGCTGAGGCTCTGGCAGCCATCAGGTGGGTGTGGGGTCTGCTGGATTCTGGGGGTTGTTTGTTTAAACGTCTGAACATGGGGTGTGGGCCATGTGGTATGGGAATTGGAGAGGGAGGAATGGGAGATTGAGCATCAGGCTGAGAGCGTGCGCGAGGGCGAGAAGAAGAAACGCCTGATAAAGCACCACCTCCGCTACCGCCACCGTCTCATCACGTTTCAAGACGTCTCAAAACCTGCTTGTTTTCTGTTGCACGCCGCATCCTCCACCCCCTTCCCCACCCACCCTCCTGTCCCTGAACCCCCCTCTCCCCACAACCCCCTCCTCCCCCCAGGCTGAAAAAGAAGCCTCTGATAACGCTCCAACGCCACGGACTCGCGGCCAATCCTGCCGCGCCACGCGGACACCGGCCGGCAGTTCACAGCGGAGCGCATGCGGCAGGAGCTCTCCTCCATTCGGGCTCGACCCCTCCGCTGCCCTCGCCCCATACCTGCTCTCGAACTCACTCACCCTCCTCTGCCCCACTCTGCCCCACTCTGCCCCTCTCTGCCCCACTCTGCCCTCCTCTCCTCTGCACTTTTTCCCTGCTCTGCTTCCTGCTCCGTTCCCCTCCCCACCTCCCACCCATCCAGGCTGAAGAAGAAGCGTCTCATAACGCATCGTCATCGCCAGCGCAGCGTCACCGACAGCCGGCCAATCCTGCCGCGCCACGCGGACACCGGCCGGCAGTTCACAGCGGAGCGCATGCGGCAGGAGCTCTCCTCCATCGGGCTCGACCCCTCCGCTGCCCTCGCCCGTATCAAGGCCGGCAAGACCGGGGAGGGCGGGGACGTTAGTGGTGGTGGCACGGTGGCCAAGGGGAGGAAGAGGAGCAGGTCAATGGCACGAGATGGGATGGAGGTGGATGGGGAGGAGGGGAGGGGGAGACGGGGGGTTTCGCGGGGCCGGGAAGGGAAGCGGGACGGGAGGGAAGGGAGGGAGGAAGGGGAGGAGGGGATGGAGTTGGATGAAGGGAACGAGGAGAGGCTGAGGAAGAGAATCCGGCACATGTCACGGTCCCGGTCGCAGTCGCTGGGGAGGATAGGCGGGACGGCGTCGGCGCTGGCTGCAGAGGCGGTGCCTGGGGAGGGGTTCAGAGATACGGAGCAGAAGGTGGGCGCGATTCAGCTGGCACGGAAGCATGCGAAGAAGCGGAACGTGCAGAGCAAGAAGGGCGAGGCGGACCGCACGATTGTGAACGTGCGACCCAAGCATCTGTTCGCGGGGAAGAGAGGCATTGGGAAGACCGACCGGCGGTAGAGAGAGAGGGAGAAAGAGGACGGGGATTATGGGATGCAATCGGCCTGTGGCAGCTGTGGCTATCGATCCTCTAGCTCTTTCCCTCTTTGTACCTCGGCATGCATTTGCTTTTCTTCTGTTGCTGTTGCTGTCTGTGCCTTGGTGGTACTACCTAGTACCACAAAGAGAAGCTATTTTGCTCAAGGAATGTTGGTCAAAGTTTTATGCTCTATAGATTTTATACTGGTATGAAAGCGTTGCCCACATGGAAGCTTTATGCAGTGCAATTTGCATGTCATTGATACATCATTGTCTACACAAGGGCCGATGCATTTAAAACCGCTATGCATTGTGGAATGATTCAATGATGAAGCTCTTGCCATGATATGAGCACATACCATCAGCTACAGCAGCCAGCTATCTCCACCAACCAGCAGCAGTGGTCAGCAGTCGTCAGCAGCAAGAACACACCTCTCCCCCGGGCGCACATGGGGTGATCGTACGGCCTCCACACGGCAGTTGTTGTCTGTCTCACTCATCCACTCGCCACACTGCCTCTCCATCCATCCCCTCACCCATGCCACCTGTGCTCCTTGTGCTGCCTGCGCTGCTTCTGCTGCTCGTGCTGTTTGTGCTGCTGCCACTGGTGTTTGTGCTGCTGCCACTGGTGTTTGTGCTGCTGCCGCTGGTGTTTGTGCTGATTGCACAAGCAGCGCCGCTTCTTGTGCTGCTACTGGTACTTGTGCTACCCCTCCCTCCCTTCTACCTCCCTCATTTCCTCCACTCTCCCTTCCTCCTCCCTCCCCGCCTGCCTGCATGCCGTGCCGAATGCCAGCCCACAGCGCATCTGCCGTGTGCCCTGCTGTTTTCCCACCTACTTGTTGCGCACGCCTCTCACTGTCACCCACTGCATCTGCCATTACCCCTTCACCTGCACCTGCGGCCTGCTCTGCCCCCTGCTGTGTGCCCTGTGCTGCTGTCCCCTCTCCCCGGTCTCTTCCACCCATCAGGAAACCCCAGAGGCCCCATGACCGTGCCTTGCTCTCACCTCGTCTGGGAGAATCCTCGGCGCTTGCTGTATCTGCAGGGGCGTGGAGAGCTTTCATCGAGTGCAGAGCCCTTCTCTCATTGCCAACGGCTTTACCACTGACTCCTTTCCCCGTGCCTGCATTCCCTCCTGCAACTGCATCTGCCGCTCCCAGCCCTTCAACTGCTTCAGCCGCTCTCACACCCTCGGTAACGAAATCCCGAGCCATTTCCAACAACCGCCGAAGCGATGCCACGTCGCGCTGAGTCAGCTCCACGAATCGCGACTGCACAAAGTGGTCCCGGCACTCGAGCCGCCGCCGGCAGGCCTCCCGGCTGACGTGTGCAAACGTGGCGTCGCCTGGTTGGTCGGTAGGGCCGCGGTGGCACTGGTGCAGCAGGTAGAGTGCGCCTGCTGACGTGGCCATGCCCTCGAATATGATGTGCTGTACCTTGTAGGGCTGGATTTCCACCACGACTGGTATCGTGGGGCGCAGGGGAGAGGGGTCACTTTGGGCCGCAGTTGCAATTGCAGCAGTAGCGGCGGCGGCGGCGGCGGCGGTGGCAGTGGAGGGTGCGTGATTGAAAGCCGAAGCTAGAGTGAGACCAGCCCCGTGTAACCCTACAATGATGTCCGCCCCCTGTACCAGAGAAAACTGCTCCGCGAATGACAGCCTGGCGAAGTCCGCCACTTGCACGGCGACACCTGGCAGCGAGGCGAGAAGGGACTGGAAGGCCGCCTCGCTTGATTGGTCGAACGCTCTCCGGGCGGCGTGGCTGCTGGCGCTGTTGTTGGTGCCGACGGTGCGACGAATGTAGAGTAGACGCGGGAGAGAGGTGGAGGGGGAGGTGGAGGAGGTCGAAGAGGGATTGGTGGTGGGGGTGAAATTGAGGGTTGGGGTGAGGTGGTTAGGTGGTGACAGGGTGTGGCGCAGGTGGGAGTGCAGGCGGGCGGGCAGCAGGGGGAGAGTGCCTGGATAAGCTGATGCCTGGCCGAGAGACAAGGGGGCGGGAGAGTGTTACGGGGGTGGGAAAGGGAGGGACGGAGGAAGGAGAGTGGTGACGTTTGAGTCGACTCAAATGTCACCGAGTGGGAAGGGGAGGGATGGAGGAAGGAGAGTGCTGTATGTGAGCGCTGGTTGGGAGAAAGGAGCAAGAGAGGAAACAGCAGTGAAGCTTGTGATTGTTGCATTTCCCCACAGGTCATGTGTTTTGTCTCAAAACATTTCCCCACAGGTCATGCAAGCAGTTCATGTGAAGCTTGAGACGTCTCAAAACATTTCCCCACAGGTCATGCAAGCAGTTGCTACGGGATGCTTCAAGTGGCTCCAAACTCGTTCTTGCTTCCCAAGAATTCCAACTGAGATTGCAACTGTGTGTTGACATAGAGGAATTGCAGAAGACAGTGCACCTTTGGATTGACGGTGAACAGTGCACCTTGGGATTGACGGTGAACAGTGCATTTTGGGATTGATGGTGAACAGTGCACCTTGAGATTGCCACTGAACAGTGCATTGGCGAAGCAAACTGGACGATTCCTTGTGGCATTTCCAAGAGACCCTTCAAACTTCACCACTCCTCCCATCGCCACCGTTGATCTCGCATCGAGAAAATCCGCTGGCTTCATCCCACCGTCCATTCTCCCTTTTGCCAAAACCCCACTGTTCCCAGCACTACTGACGCTCCCTGAATCCACTAGCAGACGAACAATGCCATCCAACAGCCGCGCATGCACCCCATGTTCTCCATACGCCCCTGCCACCCGTTTGAACGCGGCAGATCTAATCAGAACTAGTCTTTGGGCGGGGAGAGGCAGATGGGAGCGGTTGAGAGATGGGGAGGAAGAGGCAGAGGAGGAAGAGGAGGACGAGGAGGAAGAAGATTGATTTAGAAGCAGCAGGAGATTATGTGACTTTCGCACGAAATGCGCGATGTTTCCCTCCGAGTCGTCTAAAAACAAAAACGCCGAAGTTCCCTCCTGCCACGAGTCATCTTCCTGTTCATCGTCACCCTTCCCCTTCCCCCTTCCCCTCCGCCGCTTCCTCCGCCTGGTTCTCCCCCGCTCCGTACGTAGCTGCATGTTATCCTTCGTTATAAGCCGCAGCGCGGCCTTGTACGACCTACCGCGTCCGTCCATGCAGCCAATAGGAATGAGTGGATCGACGGCTCGGGTCGTCTGATCAGGGAAGAGAGAATCTGAGCCGTCCGGTGGCTGCCGGCACGGTGCATAGCTGACGCCTGTAAACGCGTCGCCGTTAAAACAGACGGACCGGCAGGAGCAGAGGACCTGGCCGGCCTGGCAGCAGAAATCGTTTCGCACATAGAAGCACGTGCAGCCGTCTTGTTGGCCGTCAGAATTGTCGGTGGCAGAAGCGGTGCCGACACTAACGCTAACGGAAAACACGGGAACAGTAATGAAGAGGGTGAAGAGGTGGAGGGCGCTCAGTGAGAGACGCTGCATCGAGGTGATGTGAATGTAGTGAAGTTGAGCTGTAATGCATCGCTGGACGAAGTTGGATTGAAATGGTAGAGCGAGAGCAAGACGGGAATGAAACAGATACCCGCAATACTCCACGAATTTCCGTCCACCGTCACTCACATCCTCTCACATTTCGGGGCTTCTAGCCTACTACTAGTCGAAGGTTGGACTTAGAGGAAATTCGTTATTAGCATAAGCTTCAAGGGACTCAGGTGACCAGTAATGACCTAGCCAACACATGCCTTTCGTTTCATATTACAATAGCATGGAAATATGTTTTTTCACATCAACCCTTCAGCTCTCCAACTATCTTATGCCAAGGCATACGTCTATGATGTGCCTCCGAATCCACTGTAAGGTCTCCGCATATAGCGCTGCTTCTAGTTGCTGCAACTGGTCTCAACAATCCAACTAATGATATGCCTCCTAATCCACTATAAGGTCTCAGAACAAAGGGCCGCTTCTAGTTGCAGCAACTACTGCTGCTGCACCTTCTCTGGGCTGCAGAGCTGGCCTGCTTAACTCTACAGGGGGAAGACCCGCAGCCCTGATAGTCCTGGAGCGAGAGAAGCCGGCAGCAGTGGTTACAGAGTGTGTGGAGGGCAGCGAGTGAGTGGAGCACACAGAGAGAGGGGGTTCGGGGTAGTCAAGGCAATCCGGGCAGTCAGGGCAGACGGAATTGTCAAGATACTCGGGGCAGTCAAAACAGTCGGGGTAGGTGAGGTGGGTGGAGTGTACGAGGTTGTGAGAGCCTGTGGGGATGGAACTAGCTGGTGAGGAGAGTGAGAAGGTTGTGATGCTGAGCTGGCGGGATGAGAGGGATGACGATTTAGCAGTGGTGACTTGACCAGAGGAGGAGACGGAGGAGGGGAGACGTGTGGGAGGACCGTCAGCAGCAGCAGCAGCAGCAGCAGTAGGATGAAGAGAAGCAGCGCCACTCATCCTCTTCTCTTGAGCAGTGCCCTCGGTAAAAGACAGCACACGCCTCACTTCCTCCTCTCTCTTTTCCACCAGCTTGTCTCGTCGCATTGCTCTGCCTCCACTACTATCCCTGCCACCCTCCTTATCCCCTCCTCTCACTCCCTTCAGCCCATCCTGCCCATCCCTCGCATCCTGCTTCAGCATGGAAACTGAGAGCCCGTGCGGGGTTGCACAGTCGGCCACGCGCACAGACGGAGACCCCAGCGAGTCTAGTGATTCCACAGACCCTCCCTCGACTCTCCCCCACCCTCGCTGCTGCAACCCCTCCTTCATTCTACCACCACTGCTAGCCTTATTCCCACTGCTGCTCAAGTTCCCACCACTGCTCTTGTTCTTACTGCTGCTCATTCTCCCACCTTTGCTCTTGCTGCTACAGTTGCTCATGCACGCTGCAACACCAGAGCCCGCACATGATGCTGCCATATAACCACCATCGCCCTCCTGCACTCCCTCGTGGCAGTACCCGTGCGCAAAAGCGAACTCCCTGAGTCTGCTTATAGCGAGGTCCAGGTTACCAGACCTTAAAGCGGTGCCCTTGATCCTGCCCCACACGCCAACCTCCCCACTCCAGCTCGTCACCTCGGTCCTACTCCTCCTCCCACTCATCCTCGCACCCATCAGTTCACCACTCTCCGCACCACGCTCAGAGCTGCCGCTGTGGTGGTAGTAGCAGTCATTGCAAAAGCATTCACCAGCATTTCTGTTTCCCACCTGCCCCATCGTAGCAGCCTCCTGCGCCTCTATCCTTGTCTCTGTCCTTGCCTCTGTACCCACTTCTACCCTGGCCCTTGCCTGTGCCTGTGACGCTGATACGCCTGCCTGTGCCTCCGCCCTGCGTCCAGTGGAGTGTCGGCGGCGGGGAGGAAGGGAGAGCAGGGAGCAGGAGGAGGAGGGCAGGGCGGGAAGGCAGGAGGGGCACAGAGATTGCATGCGAGGACTTGAACTGCCATGCTCCTCCCTCTCTGACTGCTGCTGAGTGTTCGCGTCTGTCATCTGCTTGTCAACTGCCCTGCTCGATTCTTCTGCACTCTGCTGCTGCTTCTCCTCGCGTCTCTGCTGGTCCCGTGAATGCTGATGCTGCTGCTGCTGCTCCTGCTGCTGCCACTCCTCTACTCCCACACATTGTTGCATCTGTTGCTGCGTTCTGCCGATCTGCTCCTCATCCTGCTCCCACCCTTCCTCAATCGCCTCAACCTCCCCAACCACCTCGGCCTCCTCACTCGCCTCCCCCTCCCCAAATGCTTCCCCCTCATCAATCACCTGCCCCTCCCCAACCGCCCACCTCTCCTCCTCCCGTTCCTCCCGCTGCGCCCACTGCTGGCGCTGCTTACTCCGGGTAGATCCAGGGGAGGCGAGACTGAGCACGCCCCTGGGACTAGGCAGACCCAAAAAACCACCCGGACTAGGCAGACTCAGAAGGCTTCTCGGACTAGGCAGGGGCAGGCCTGGACGGGGGTCAGAGCGAGGGGACGTGATGGCGAGGGCAGCGCGTGACACGGATTTGAACGCAGAGGCCGCGGCAGAGGCGGCAGCGGAGGCGGCGGACGGGGAGAGGAGCGGGAGAGGGCGAGAGAAGCGAGTAGCGGTTGTGGGAGTGGGCGCGGGAGAGGGCGGCAGGTGCGTGAGGTCCATGGCGGTTATGTCCACGTTGGCGTGCGACAGCTGGCGACACCGCGCTTCTACCTCTGTGGGGGTGAGGGGGGAAGGGGCGAGCGGGGAGCGGAAAGAAGGAAAGGAGCGAATGGGATCGGAGGTGGGGGAGGGAGGCATGTGAGCATGCGAGGTCCATGGCGATTATGTCCACGTTGGCGTGGGAGAGTTGCCTGCACCGCGCTTCTACCTCTGCGGGGAGGGGAAGTAGGGGAGAGAGGAAGGAGCGGGTGGGAGAGGGAGCGGGAGAGGGCGGCAGGTGCGTGAGGTCCATGGCGGTTATGTCCACGTTGGCGTGGGACAGCTGGCGACACCGCGCTTCTATCTCTGCGAGTAGGGGAAGAAGGGGAGAGAGGAAGGAGAAGATGGGACGAAGGGGAGAGAGGAAGGAGAGGATTTTTGAGACGTCTAAAAGATGTCCACGTTGGCGTGCGACAGCTGGCGGCACCGCGCTTCTACCTCTGCGAGGAGAGGACGAAGGGGAGAGAGGAAGGAGAGGATGGGATTGGGAGCGAGAGAAAGGGGCAGGCGGAGAGGGGAGAGAAAGGAGTGTGAGCGGAAGAATTGGTCTCGAGACACGCTCGCTGCACCTGCGCCTCCCCACCCCAGCCTCAGCACTACCCCGTCCTGCTAACCACGTCAGTCACCAGCACCCACTGCCGTTGAAACGACGCGGAATATGTCTATATCGAAAAACAGCCAAGCGCAGTGCGTGTTCCGACCTTTGAGAACTCTCAAAAGCCAAGCACAGTACGTGTTCCGACTTCTAAGAATTCTCATAGGCCAAGCGCAGTGCGCCTTCCGTTCCGTTCCGACTCCGCCCTCGCGCGTACCTTCCCAGCTGCTCGTCTCAATACTGCCGCGCAGCGCCGTCACCCGGTCCCCCGTCCCAGTCGATTCTCGAGCCGCCTCGAAAATTGTCACCGACGTGTCCAGTTTCAATCCGCTGCGCGCCGCCCACTCGCGCGTGTTTCCCACGTGTCGTACCCGCGGCTCCGCCGCGTGTCCGCTCCTCCCGTGGGGCGTCGCCGCGTGCCCGATCCCCCCCCTGGGCTCCGCGGCCTCGTCCCGCCATCCGCTCCTCCGCGCGCGACGGTCGTCCGCGCAATTCCATGTCTGGTGCCGCTGCAACCTCCGGCAAGGATCACTACAGCGGGAATCAAAGTAGCGGGGATCTGAGTAGCGAGGATCTGGATTACGGGGACCCTCATGGGCTTGACTCGAGTCGGCGCACTCGTCGGACCGTCCAAGCGTCCCCCGACCTACTGGCGAGTCCCTCTTCGACTCCTCCCTCGTCGAGTCCCCAATGAGGCCTACTGGAGAGTACGCGTTGCATGGAACCATACGATTCCCCCGCATACCACCATGTGTTTCCGCTTCTTGAAACCCGCAGCTCCTCGATTCGCCGTTACCATGCCGGCTGGCCGGCATCCCCGCTGGCTTCCCACCGCTGGGACTTGGGCGGGTACTCCGCGGATGGCGGTGTTGCGCGAGAGACTCCGCTACGGCGGCTTCCGCTCCCCCCAGCCCCGCCAAGAAGCGCTGCGCCGCCAGCTCTTCCACCGTGAGCGGCGGAGGTCGGGCGCGCGGCGGAGCCGGGCGCTGCTGCGGTTGCGAATGCGCGTGCGCGTGCTCTTGCGCGCGCGGCGGGTGCAGTTGCGGGCGCGGGTGGACCCCTTGCGGGTACGCGGGGGGCCACATCGGGAGAACGTGCGCCGCAACGCCTGCTCCTCCTGCGCCGCCCCCGGAAGTTTCTGGCAGCGTGAGCGGGCTGGATGAGAATGCGCGGGAGCTGCGCCAGGCGGGGGGGGGAGGCATGCGCGGACTGACGAGCGCGGAGAGATTCCATGGGAGCGGAGGCGGAGGCGCATAGGAGTCGATCGAGTCAGTGAAAGACGGCAAATAACTGCTGTTGTCGCTACTCGGGTGGCAATAATCGGGGGTTTCGTGCAGTGGTGGAAAATCTTGTCGAGCGCGGGAGGCGGGTGATTCAAGACAAACTTGCGATCTTCGCCGCGTGACGGAAGGATCGCCAAATCGGTACGGCGGAAAGCCGTGGGAGGCTGACGATGATAAAGATGATGCTAACTCGGCCGCGTAATCTGGCGGGCCATTGTCTGAAGTAGTACTACTAATCTCGTCAAAGCTGCACGGCTTGGGGACGGCGAGCGGAGTAATGCGACCGACGCGATTGCGACGACGCTCCGCCAGAGAGCTTTCGGTAACGCTTCGCTGGACTCCCGCGGGAGTTCTGCCCGATGCCGCCATCGCCGCGAGCCTCTCGAAGCGCGTCAAAAGTGGGCGTGCATAGGAAAACTATCCGATACCGCGGTTATCACCGCGAGTCTACCAGGAGAGGAAGAACGCATATGACGGCGAAGGCATTGGACGTCTGGTTCTGATAAGTTGACTGAACCCACTACCAATCGGGGTGAGCCAGGGATGCGGGTGGTCTTGCAGGCATTTAGCTTGACGGTGATCTGTTTCTACATTTACTACCTTACTGGGCGGAACGTCACTTAGCCATGAAATCGAAAGGCCCTTACCAGATATGGAAAACTCATTGTACACGCACTTAGTTCTACAGCTGCACAGCGCACTGATGGCTTCATGTGGTCCCTGTTGCGTCTAACGATCCCTTGGGAGGCTGATCCAGGGAATGAGTGTGGTGGGGGGGAGGGAAGGGTATACATAAATGTTTCCCTGGGGGATTTGACTTCACAGAGGTCAAGAGAGGTTATTAATGATTTCAAACCTGTTTGTTTGTTATGATGAACGGTTCAATGGAATGCTTAGATAAAATGGACGCTTGGAGATGTGTTGGTCATGGGGGTGAGGTGAAGCGTGTCGCGTTGGATTGTTTCTTCCGTGATTTGACGATGACCGTGAGAGAGACGTACGAATGAATCGCAAACCACTGCAGTCACATTTGGCCTGGCGTGTTTGCTATCAGTCGCTGTGGCTCACCTTCTGTCAATCGCACACACGCCAATTCCAGCAGCTGTGGGAAGTGCCCACACATGCGACAGTTGACAAGACGATTCGGTCGTGCGATCTCACACAATGCGCGGCGCGACATCGGAATTCACCGACCGACCTGACGTTTGTTTCTCTCGACGTTTGCTTGACTTGATGAGATTGGTGTTTCTGGTCTTGAAACGATTCCTATCCCAATGCTTTCTTGTCAGCTCTGACCGAACACCTAGAACTTAGCGGGAGACGATTTTAGTGCGTTATGGGTATTTGAAAACTTTTGACGGTTTACTTCTCTGTTGTGAAGCACGTCAGGTTCGTCAGCCTGATATGCAGCTTTCCTGCAAATCAGTGATTGCGACGTGGCATTAGATGCGGTAATGTTCAGGTCAACGGGAAATATAACGGCGGCAAAGCTTCAGTAGAGATTCCGAGTGTACGGTAGGTACACCTGTCCCGCGATAATTTCACACTTTGTACCCTCTTTATTTCAGACAACCCGCGCTTTTTGGCTCGACAAGAGGAGCACCCTTTCATTACGGGTTTATCGCACATGACCCTGAGGTGACGGCCTTACCAAACTCGCACTTGTCAGTCCAAGTAGGTGAGTTGGAACAATTTCTCTGCCAAGCTTGTTCGCTCGGTTGGCTCGCGACGGGATTGTGTGACCGTAACCTCGGTAAAACAAATCATGCTGTTAACTACTCTTGAAATCAGATTGTCTCAGGGTAGGTACCCCTGGGTGTAAAGATAAAGGGTGTGATAATATCGCGAGACAGGTGTACAGAGACGCAAATGCAGCACAGCATAATCACAAGTGGACATTTTCTTTGGTTCAAAGGTGTGATTAGATTTCAACTCTGGGAGCCAATACATCTTCGGTATGTGTCCTGGCTGATAACTAGTCAGGTGAGAGGTTGATATCGGGTATAACTCATCACACAAGGACGAAATGTCAGGACTCAGGAGGGACTCAGCGCCAGAAACGACAAAGGCGGTAGGACCAAAGGATGGATGATCGCCGCCAACGCCCGTGTCCAGCGCAACGGCTCAAAGCACTCAACTGGTGGCATTCCGCTTCCATCCAGCTCCATAGACTCCTTAGGTCTGGGGTCGCACAAAGAGTCACACGAGGAGCGCACTAGGAGTCGCACCGCGCCCGGCGTGTCCTTTTTCCTCGAAGCCTGCTCGAACGGCGCAGATGTTGTCCCGTAGTGTACAATTCAACACCCGTTTCGAGCCGTAGTACTGGCCTATCACCCAACGCCTCGCTCACTCTCAACAGTTACCCGTCATCGCATTGCTCCCCCTCACCCCCCCGCCCCCTTCCCACCTTCCGAGCCGCCCTGACGTTTAGAAATTTGCCAAAAGGCCTCCCTGATTTTAGACAACGCCTCCCTGCACGTGTCGCTGTACGACAATCCGACTAATACGAGCAAAACTGTTACTGCTAGTGGAAGTAGGATCGCTAGTAGCAACCGAGCCGCGATCCGTCTGTACTACTAAGTCACCAGGCAGCCGCTATTGTCGCCGGTGGCGGCGACAATCACCATCCCGCGGCGGCTCCCGCTGCGGATGCGCGCATGGCGTCGTCCGCCGTGCCCCGCCACGCCGCAGGCGCGCGGACGTTGTCAGGGAGCGTCAAGATCGCGGCGCTAGCGCTGGGCGCAGCAGGCGCCGCAATAAACGGCGGAATTTCCGCCGTCGTTGGCGCTGGTTGCCGCGCGGGGGGATCGGCGGAACCGGGGGCGTCGGAAAGGGGGGGAGGAGCCGGGGGGCAGGCGTCGAGCCCCAAAGGCGCCTTCCGCGGCGCTGGCAGTCCGCGCGCGTCTGGCGGACTGTTTCCCCGACATGCGGTGGGAAGGGGGTAACGGGGTGGGGAAAAGGGGGAGGGGTAAGGGGGAAGGTAGGGAAGAGAGGTTGGGGAGAAGACAAAAAGAGAGGAAGGGGGGGAAGGGCGGGTGGTGTGTTAAAAGGGGGAAAGGGGCTGAAGAGGTTGGAGGGAAGGGTGACGAGGAAGGCAAGGGAGAGAAAACGCGTGCGGAAAGATTGCATCGCAGGAAGGTTGGTTCTCTTCTCTCCTCACTTGCTCCCTTCACTCCGCACATCCTTCCTCCGCTCTCAAACGAAGGGTAAGCGTAGTAGTATTCACTCCGCACATCCTTCCTCCGCTCTCAAACGAAGGGTAAGCGTAGTAGTATTCACTCCGCACATCCTTCCTCCGCTCTCAAACGAAGGGTAAGCGTAGTAGTATTCACTCCGCACATCCTTCCTCCGCTCTCAAACGAAGGGTAAGCGTAGTAGTATTCACTCCGCACATCCTTCCTCCGCTCTTCCCCCTCCCCACTGCCGTCCCCCCTCTCCGTGTTGCCTTGCCCCCATGCAGGCAGTGAACTACCTGTGCCTCATGCTGCCCTTCCTCGCCCTCTCCACTCTCCAGGTGCGCCCTCCCACTCTCCAGGTACGCCCCCCTTCCCTTCCCTTCCATGCCTTCGGTCCCATTGCCCAACCCCGTGCCCTGCCTCATCACCCTCCATACGCCATTGGCCTGCCTACATGTCATCTCTGCTGCCGCATGTCATCTCTGCTGCCGCATGTCATCTCTGCTGCCGCATGTCATCTCTGCTGCCGCATGTCATCTCTGCTGCCGCATGTCATCTCTGCTGCCGCATGTCATCTCTGCTGCCGCATGTCATCTCTGCTGCCGCATGTCATCTCTGCTGCCGCATGTCATCTCTGCTGCCGCATGTCGTCTCTTGCAACTGAACATATGCGTCAGCAACTCAATGCACATGCTTCCCTCCCTCTCCTCCTTCTCCATCCGCTCCCATCCCTCCCCTCTTATCCTTTCCATCCCTCCCCTCCTCCCATCCCTTCCATCTCCCCTCCAAACTTTCCATTCACCTCCTCCTCTCTTCCCATCCCTCCTCCTCCCCCTTCCGCCGCTCCCGCTGCGCCAGCTGTACCTGATGTGGTTACCGGAGCTGGGGCCCATGCGGTTACCACAGGACGACTTTGTGGGCAGCAAATCGACCAAGGTGAGACCGACTAGTCAGACTGCAGCAGGAGATTAAGGTGGCTTCAGGTGTTTCAGGTGGCTTCAGGTGTTTCAGGTGGCTTCAGGTGTTTCAGGTGGCTTCAGGTGTTTCAGGTGGCTTCAGGTGTTCCAGGTGGCTTCAGGTGTTTCAGGTGGCTTCAGGTGTTTTAGGTGGCTTCAGGTGTTTTAGGTGGCTTCAGGTGTTTCGGGTGGCTTCAGGTGTTTTAGGTGGCTTCAGGTGTTTCAGGTGGCTTCAGGTGTTTTAGGTGGCTTCAGGTGTTTCAGGTGGCTTCAGGTGTTTTAGGTGGCTTCAGATTTTCAGGTGTTTCGAGTGATAAGTAAGTGGTGAGTGAGGGGAGTGGGGGAAGGGGAGTGAGTGGAGTGAGAAGAGTGGGGAGTTCCTTGTTGTTTCCTTTCCCTCACCAGCATTTTGCAACTGCCTCGCCTGCCACATGTGCCCTGCCCCTCACTGTTGCATGTGCATGTGCATGTGCATGTGCATCTGTGTGTGTGTGTGTGGATGTGCGTGTGCATATGCATATGCATGTGCATGTGCATGTGCATATGCATGTGCATGTGCATGTGGATGTGCAAATATTAATGCATGCATTTATGTATGTATGCATGCATGGAACCACCCATCAGCGCAGGGCCCACCAGTTCAACTACCGAACACTGTTGGCCCACACTGCCAGTGACGTCCTCTCATTGCACAGTGAGTCTACTTCTGAGTGATTCTGGAAATGCTAGAATCTTCTTGCGGTGCGGTGCATGCTTGTGTATCCCTGTGCTGAGGCGCTGGAGAAGATGAGGCTGGAGAAGATGAGGCTGGAGATGAAGGCTAAAAAATACGACCGTATTTTTGAAATTTTACCGTAAATTACGGTATCGTAATTTACAGTCGTAAATTACTGTAAAAAGCTGTTCGACCTTGCAAAATTAGGTTGGTTAAAAAATACGGTCGTAAATTACGACCAAAATTTTGAAACCGAGTTGGTGCCTAGCGAATTTCAACATTTCCCAACTGTCACCCTGCTTGTGAGAAATTTCATGCGCCCAAATCCACGCAAGTGTGTTTTTTTCGCGTAGTGTGGGGAGGGAGTAGGAGCAGATCTAGCCTAAAGGTAGGTTCTACTGGGTAGGCTTACCAATGGTAGTGGTGTAGCGGTCCATTATAGGCTTGTTTCTCTGTAGTGTAGTTGGCTGTCGCCTTCGTAGTCATCGTTGTAAGCATTCTTGGAGTTTCTGGAAAAAAAAAAAAAACAGAAAATGCCGCAAAAAAGTCCATTAAAAAAAAGGACCGTATTTTTGCCAAAACCACCGTAAATTACGCCCGTAATTTACGAGCCGTAATTTACATTTATCGTATTTTTGAACCTTGCTGGAGATGATGAGGCTGGAGATGCTGCAGTGCAGACACAGAAGCACAATCTGTTGTTTGAGAATTCTCAGAAAACAGGTCCTTGTGCTGAAGCTCTGGAGAAGGTGGGGCTGGAGAAGGTGGGGCTGGAGAAGGTGGGGCTGGAGAAGGTGGGGCTGGAGATGACTTTTGAGTCGACTTAGAAGTCACCTTGTGTAGACGAGGAAGGTGAGGCGCTGTAGACGATGGGGCCGGAGATGCTGCAGACGAAGCAGCACGTGTAGAAAGAAGAGTGTTTTGAGACGTCTCAAAACACTCTTCTTTCTACAGGTGAGGCTGGAGATGCTGCAGACGAAGCAGCAGCTGCAGCAACGATCCGTTCCCCACTTTACCCCCTTTCTGCTGCCAACCCCCATCCCATACCATTCTCCATTCTAGAGTTGCTGGAGCAGAGCAGGAGAGAGCTCAAGGGGCAGATGACACAGAATCTAGAAAAGATGGGGCTGGAGATGGGGCAGACGAAGCAGCAACCATCCTTTCCCCGTGCTCCCCCTTTTTCTGCTGTCAATCCCCAAATCATCCCTCTCCTAGAGTTGTTGGAGCAGAGCAGGAAAGAGCTGAAGGGGCAGGTGGCAGAGAATTTGGAGAAGATGGGGTTGGAGATGCTGCAGACGAAGCAGGACAGCGCACGGGCAGCTGCTGATGTGGCGGACTGGTGGCAGCACGAGCAGGGCAGGCTGAAAGCCATGAGCCAGGACGTCGGGCAGCTGAAAGAGATTGTCGGGCAGCACGCAAGGAAGCTGGAGGCGCAAGTGCGAGCGGTGCAGGTGGGTTGGAAGGGGCTGGGAAGAGTTGTGGGAGTTCCATCCGCCCCTCTTTAAGAGACTTTGTAAACCGCAGAAAGTTCAAGCCAGTGCCCTCAGTGTGATAATACCAGTGCTTTGAGACGTCTCAAGCCTTTGTAGACCTCAGTTTTGAGATTTCTCAAAAGTGACTTCCCTTGATAACAACAGTGTTTTGAGACGTCTCAAGTCTTTGTAAACCTCAGAATGTTCAAGCCTTGGCCCCTTGCATCCCTTCATCTCTCTGAGGCGCCTAATACAGCATCTTCTGACTTGTTTCCTTCCTTCCCTTGCAAGAACCCAGGAAGCTTCTGGAAACAACGAGGAGCAGCAGGGGGGTGGCAGAAATGGGCTTTCTACAAGTGAGGAGGGGGATAAAGGGGGCGACGAGGATGGAGAGGTGGCACGACCAGAGCAGTGGCAGAAGGGGCGGCATGAGGCGTTGATGCACTTCTGGGTGGCGGACGATCAGCCCTCACAGTGGAAGCAACGGTCCTTCCAGCGCCACGGGTCGTTCAGCTTCATCAAGTTCAGGTGCGAGGGGAGGGAATGGGCGTGCAGATCTGGAAGTAGTGACAAACCCTGAAAGCGTTTGGGGACAAGAATGGATGAACCCCTGACATGTTGTAACAGTTGTACTCTGTTAACTTCAGAGGGATTTCAAGTATGTCAATGCAAGCAATGCCAGAGAGTTGGGATATGTTGTGCGTCTTAAACTCCTGGGTCGACTCAGAACCGCGTGTACTGAGTCGATCATTTTTCAGTCGACTCCTCAATTTTTTTCGCATATGTAGTACTTCTCATTTCTTTTGAGGCGTCTCAAAAATAGATTCTCGGATATGTAGTAGTTCTCAATTCTGCCCTTCCCCACCCCAGCGCCTAACCGGGTGAATGCGTCCACATCGGCAGTGCTGGGGCTAGCGTCCACATCGGCAGTGCTGGGGCTAGCATCCCTCCCAATGCACCACGGCCGCCGCTTCACCTACTGCCGTTGGCACGTCTCCCCGTTCTTTCCCCTCACCCCACCCACACCCGTCCTCCCCCCTCCCCAGCGCCTACCGGAGCTGGCTTCAGCGGTCTTTTAGAATTCTCACTAAATCCTCCAGTGCCCACCCACATCCCCTCCTCCGTCCTCCCCCCTCCCCAGCGCCTACCGGAGCTGGCTTCAGCGGTCTTTTAGAATTCTCACTAAATCCTCCAGTGCCCACCCACATCCCCTCCTCCGTCCTCCCCCCTCCCAAGCGCCTACCGAGTGAATGTGTCCAGGGTGGCAGTGCTGGCGCTAGAGTCACTCCCGGTATCCCAGGGGTCACCCTGACTCATGTTTCCAAGGGCTGCAGTAGCAGAGAGGACGCTTAAGTCAGGGTGGCAGTGCTGGGGCTAGAGTCACTCCCCATGCACCACGGCTGCTGCTTCTCCTCCTGTGTCCTTCCCGTGCCCCCATCCACACCCCTCCTTCCCGTGCCCTCCCTCCTCCCCCACCACCCAGCGCCTACCGAGTGAATGCGTCCACGGTGGCAGTGCTAGGGCTAGCATCTCTCCCCATGCACCACGGCCGCCGCTTCTCCTCCTGCCGCTGGCACGCTGATGCTGTTGCTTCTCCTCTCCTGCGTCCTTCCCGTGCCCCCATCCACACCAATCCGTCCCCTCCAGCGCCTACCGAGTGAATGCGTCCACGGTGGCAGTGCTGGGGCTGGCGTCTCTCCCCATGCACCACGGCCATCGCTTCTCCTCCTGCCGCTGGCATGCTTCCGCCCCGGCTACTGCTGACAATGGGGGAGTTGGCACTGCTGGTGGGGGCATGACTGAAGGCAAGCTGGTGCCGCTTTATGTGGAGGAGCATCACGACTACCTGGTAACACTCTCTTGCTCTCTGTCGGTGCTGCTGCTGCTGCTGGGGTTGACAATGAGGGGGGTAGCAGTGGTGGGGGTGGGGGTGCCACTGCTGGTGGGGGCGTGACTCAAGGCAAGCTGGTGCCACTTTATGTGGAGGAGCATCACGACTACCTGGTAACCCTCTCCTTGCTCTCTCCATTCTGCGTTCTGCTTTCTGCCGCTTTTATTCACGAATACCTGGTAACCCTCTCATGCTTTCTAGGTGACTTTTGAGTCAACTCAAAAGTCAAGCCGACTCAAAAGTCAAGCCGACTCAAAAGTCAAGCCGACTCAAAAGTCAAGCCGACTCAAAAGTCAAGCCGACTCAAAGGTCACCTTTCTGCCGCTTTTACCCACGACTACCTGGTAAAGTAAACCTCTCATGCTTTCCGCTGGTGCTGCTGCTCGGGTTGGCAATGCGGGAGGTAGCAGTGGTGGGGGGGGAGTTAGCACTGCTGGTGGGGGTGTGACTGAAGGCAAGCTGGTCTCACTGTATGTGGAGGAGCATCACGACTACCTGGTAACCCTCTCTTGCTCTCTCGCTCATGCTTTCTGGTTTTTTTTATGTTCCCTCTTCTTACCCATCCTCTCTTCCTTAACTTTTCTAGTCAAGCATGTGTCTGCCAAAGACGTAGAAATGTGTCTGCGAAAGAAGACACGTGCCCCTTTTCTATTATCACGTCCCCTTTTCTGCTTCACGTGCCTTTTTCTGCTTCACCCACACTCACGTGTTTTGAGTCGACTCAAAGCACCACCTGCTTCACCCACACTCAGCACCACCTGCTTCACCCACACTCAGCACCACCTGCTTCACCCACACTCACGGCATTCTCAAAACTTTCTCTTCGTTTGCTGCCCTCTTCCCCCACTCCCTCCCCTGCCCTCTCCATTAGATTGTGAGATTCTGTTGCCGTGTGTGCTGGACGAGAAGCAAGCTTTTTGACTTAGGCTCCAGAAAGTAGCTCAACAGAGGGTTTTTTTCTCCAGCACTCTCCCTCCCTGTCCTCCGTTGGCAGATCGAGGCAGCGGTGTGTGCTGGACCGAACATGTAACACGGGCATGTAGGCCCAGAAAGGAGCAGCAGCACACAATCTGAGCTCAAGAAAAGAGGGGGGGGGGGCGTTTGTTGGACGTGACACAAGCGTGTAGGTTTCAAAGAGTGTTTGTATCACGTCCAGCTCTACTAACTAACTCCCTCTTCCCCCCCCTACCCCTGGCATTACGAGACAAAAAAGGCATTTAGAGCGTGTGGCACGGGCATGTAGGCCCAGAAAGGAGCAGCAACACACAATCTGAGCTCAAGGAAAAGGGGGGGGTGGTTTGTTGGACGTGACACAGGCATGTAGGTTCCAGAGAGTGAATGGAGTTTGTCTCGTTGTCCTATCCTATTACAACAAGAGTCGATGGAAATGAGGCCTTCGCAGCCTACCTGTCTTCTCTGGACGCAATACAAGCGTGTAGGTTTCAAAGAGTGTTTGTATCACGTCCAGCTCTACTAACCAACTCCCTCTTTCCCGCCCTAAATGCTTGACCCCCACAAGCATTTCAGACCGGACCTCGACTAACGACCTCTCCACCTCCCTCCCCCCAGCAGTACGAGGCAGTGGTGCTGCTGTGTGTGCTGGATGCGCCTTCAGCATCGTCAGGAGGAGTGTTGGAGGCAGAGGTCGATGGGGAGGTGCTCTTCCCCTTTGTGGAGCAGCCGGGGCAGGTGAGGATTGGGGTAGGTTGGGGTAGGTTGGGGTATGTGCTGACATGTGATGCGATTGAGAGTAGGCGCGCCTTCACCAGCATCAAGGGGAGTGTTGGAGGCAGAGGTCGATGGGGAGGTGCATTCCCCTTGGTGGAGCAACCAGGGCAGGTGAGGGTAGGTTGGGGTAGGTTGGGGCAGGTGCTGGTGAGCGCTGGCAGGAGCTGTTAGGCGCGCCCATGCTTGGGTTGACTTGTGTGTGGAGGTGGGGCATACTCTCCCGCTTCTCTCTGCCTTCCTTTCAAGCACCCCCTCCCCACGTCTCCCAACCCTCCCTCCCTTTCTTCCCCGATCCACTCCCAATGGAAGACCCATCAACCTTTTCTGCCAACATAGTTCTCTTCCCTTCCCTTTCTGCCCTTCCCTTTCTTCCCTTCCCTTTCTTCCCTTCCCTTTCTTCCCTTGCCTTTCTTCCCTTGCCTTTCTTCCCTTCCCTTTCTTCCCTTCCCTTTCTCTCCTTCCCTTTCTCTCCTTCCCTTTCTCTCCTTCCCTTTCTTCCCTTCCCTTTCTTCCCTTCCCTTTCTTCCCTTCCCTTTCTTCCCTTCCCTTTCTCTCCTTCCCTTTCTCTCCTTCCCTTTCTCTCCTTCCCTTTCTCTCCTTCCCTTTCTCTCCTTCCCTTTCTTCCCTTCCCTTTCTTCCCTTGCCTTTCTTCCCTTCCCTTTCTTCCCTTCCCTTTCTCTCCTTCCCTTTCTCTCCTTCCCTTTCTTCCCTTTCCTTTCTTCCCTTCCCTTTCTCTCCTTCCCTTTCTCTCCTTCCCTTTCTCTCCTTCCCTTTCTCTCCTTCCCTTTCTTCCTTTCCCTTTCTTCCCTTCCCTTTCTTCCCTTGCCTTTCTTCCCTTCCCTTTCTTCCCTTCCCTTTCTCTCCTTCCCTTTCTCTCCTTCCCTTTCTCTCCTTCCCTTTCTCTCCTTCCCTTTCTTCCCTTCCCTTTCTTCCCTTCCCTTTCTTCCCTTCCCTTTCTCTCCTTCCCTTTCTTCCCTTTCCTTTCTTCCCTTCCCTTTCTTCCCTTCCCTTTCTTCCCTTCCCTTTCTTCCCTTCCCTTTCTCTCCTTCCCTTTCTCTCCTTCCCTTTCTCTCCTTCCCTTTCTCTCCTTCCCTTTCTCTCCTTCCCTTTCTCTCCTTCCCTTTCTTCCCTTCCCTTTCTTCCCTTCCCTTTCTTCCCTTCCCTTTCTCTCCTTCCCTTTCGCTCCTTCCCTTTCTCTCCTTCCCTTTCTCTCCTTCCCTTTCTTCCCTTCCCTTTCTTCCCTTCCCTTTCTCTCCTTCCCTTTCTCTCCTTCCCTTTCTTCCCTTCCCTTTCTTCCCTTCCCTTTCTTCCCTTCCCTTTCTCTCCTTCCCTTTCTCTCTTTCCCTTTCTCTCCTTCCCTTTCTCTCCTTCCCTTTCTTCCCTTCCCTTTCTTCCCTTCCCTTTCTTCCCTTGCCTTTCTTCCCTTCCCTTTCTTCCCTTCCCTTTCTCTCCTTCCCTTTCTCTCCTTCCCTTTCTCTCCTTCCCTTTCTCTCCTTCCCATTCTTCCCTTCCCTTTCTTCCCTTCCCTTTCTCTCCTTCCCTTTCTCTCCTTCCCTTTCTCTCCTTCCCTTTCTCTCCTTCCCTTTCTTCCCTTCCCTTTCTTCCCTTCCCTTTCTCTCCTTCCCTTTCTCTCCTTCCCTTTCTCTCCTTCCCTTTCTCTCCTTCCCTTTCTCTCCTTCCCTTTCTCTCCTTCCCTTTCTTCCCTTCCCTTTCTTCCCTTCCCCTTCTTCCCTTGCCTTTCTTCCCTTCCCTTTCTTCCCTTCCCTTTCTCTCCTTCCCTTTCTCTCCTTCCCTTTCTCTCCTTCCCTTTCTCTCCTTCCCTTTCTTCCCTACCCTTTCTTCCCTTCCCTTTCTCTCCTTCCCTTTCTTCCCTTCTCTTTCTTCCCTTGCCTTTCTTCCCTTGCCTTTCTCTCCTTCCCTTTCTCTCCTTCCCTTTCTGTCCTTCCTTTTCTCTCCTTGCCTTTCTTCCCTTGCCTTTCTTCCCTTCCCTTTCTCTCCTTCCCTTTCTCTCCTTCCCTTTCTTCCCTTCCCTTTCTTCCCTTCCCTTTCTCTCCTTCCCTTTCTCTCCTTCCCTTTCTTCCCTTCCCTTTCTTCCCTTCCCTTTCTCTCCTTCCCTTTCTCTTCTTCCCTTTCTCTCCTTCCCTTTCTCTCCTTCCCTTTCTTCCCTTCCCTTTCTTCCCTTCCCTTTCTTCCCTTCCCTTTCTTCCCTTCCCTTTCTTCCCTTCCCTTTCTCTCCTTCCCTTTCTCTCCTTCCCTTTCACTCCTTCCCTTTCTCTCCTTCCCTTTCTTCCCTTCCCTTTCTTCCCTTCCCTTTCTTCCCTTCCCTTTCTCTCCTTCCCTTTCTCTCCTTCCCTTTCTCCTTCCCTTTCTCTCCTTCCCTTTCTTCCCTTCCCTTTCTTCCCTTCCCTTTCTTTCCTTGCCTTTCTTCCCTTCCCTTTCTTCCCTTCCCTTTCTCTCCTTCCCTTTCTCTCCTTCCCTTTCTCTCCTTCCCTTTCTCTCCTTCCCTTTCTTCCCTTCCCTTTCTTCCCTTCCCTTTCTCTCCTTCCCTTTCTCTCCTTCCCTTTCTCTCCTTCCCTTTCTCTCCTTCCCTTTCTTCCCTTCCCTTTCTTCCCTTCCCTTTCTTCCCTTCCCTTTCTTCCCTTGCCTTTCTTCCCTTCCCTTTCTCTCCTTCCCTTTCTCTCCTTCCCTTTCTCTCCTTCCCTTTCTCTCCCTCCCATTCTTCCCTTCCCTTTCTTCCCTTCCCTTTCTCTCCTTCCCTTTCTCTCCTTCCCTTTCTCTCCTTCCCTTTCTTCCCTTGCCTTTCTTCCCTTCCCTTTCTTCCCTTCCCTTTCTATCCTTCCCTTTCTCTCGTTCCCTTTCTCTCCTTCCCTTTCTCTCCTTCCCTTTCTTCCCTTCCCTTTCTTCCCTTCCCTTTCTCTCCTTCCCTTTCTTCCCTTCCCTTTCTTCCGTTCCCTTTCTCTCCTTCCCTTCTCTACAGTCCGCCCATGTTCCGCGCCATCAGCCGCAGGGCGCTCACCGAGTGGCTGCACCTCCACCCTCTCTATCCCTAGCACTCCCCCGTGTTTCCCCACTGCCATTCCCGTGCTTCATGCTCCCCCCCCCCTCGCCACAGCCAATGGGAGACCCTCTAACCTTCCCTGCCAACATCCTTCTCTGGGGGCCACCCATGTTCCGAGCCATCAGAGCCAGGGCGCTCACCAAATGGCTGCACTTGCACCGCCTGCTGCTGCTCCCCCACCGCCTCTGCCCCTGGCTCACCTAGTGCCCGCGCTTCCACTGCCTCTCCCCCATGTTCCCCCACCTGTTCCGTCTTCCTTCCCCCATTCCACAGCCCATGGAAGACCCCTCAACCTTCCCCAACAATATCTTCCTGTGCAGTCCGCCCATGTTCGGTGCCATCAGCCCGCGGGCGCTCACCGAGTGGCTGTGCTTCCACGCTCTCTCCCTTTCCCATGTGCCCTCTCACAGCCCATGGAGGACCCATCAACCTTCCCCAACAATATCGTCCTGTGCGGGCCGCCCATGTTCGGCGCTATCAGCCCGCGGGCGCTCACCGAGTGGCTGCACTTCCACCGCCTGCTGCTGCCGGTGGACCGTTTTGTCCTGTATGACGCGGGCGGCGTGGTGGACCATGCTGACGTCAGCAGCGCAGTGCAGCCGTGGGTGCGGGCGGGGGTGGTGGAGGTGGTGGGGTTTGAGGAGTCAACGCAGTATGACGTGTGGTCCTACGCTCAGGTAAGGAGCTTCAAATATGCTTCTAGTGTTCCGGGCTGGTGTTTCATTAGTCATTTCATCTCGCACCAGCCCTTATGTGCTGCTACTGGCGTAGTTTGATGCTTCAGGCATTCTTCCATTCTCAACCGCCTGCCTGCCTGCCTCAGTTTGCCGGCGTTTCCCCGCCAACCAACTCCGCAGGCCCTCTCCACCCATGACTGTCTGTTCTGTACGCCACCGCCACGATGCGCAGTGGCTGCGCTTTTGCCTAAGTGACTCACACACACACCCCTCTCTACCCCGCCCCACCGCATGCTCATCACCATCTCCCAGGCCGTCTCAGCCCATGATTGTCTGTATGGGAACCACCACGAGGCGAGGTGGCTGCTTCTTGCCTGGTTGACGCTCTATTTTCCCGCCTTCCCCACCCACCACCCCCAACTCCATGCATCAGGCCCCCTCAACACACGACTGCCTGTACGTGAAACGCCCCGAGGCGCAGTGGCTGCTCTTCGCCCAGTTGACACACACACACACCCCTCTCTACCGCTCTGAACCCCCCACTCTTTTCCCACCATCTTCTTAGGGTCACTCCACGCATGACTGCCTGAAACCGCCACCACTACAAGGCGCACTGGCTGCTGTTGCCTAGTTGACCCACACCACCCCCACTGACATTTCACCCCCTCCCTCCCTCTCCCCCACCGACTCCTCCTTGGGCCCTCTCCACGCACGACTGTCTGTACGGCAACCGACACGAGGCGTGGTGGCTGCTCTTTGCCAACCTGGAAGAGGTTGTCGACGTGCTTCAAGCACACCCCTCTCTATCCCTCCGCACCCCTACCAACTCCCCACCCGCACCAACAACTCAGGCCCTCTCAACGCACGACTGACTGTACGGGAATCGCCACGGGGCGTGGTGGCTGCTCTTTGCTGACCTGTACGAGTTCCTCGTGGTGCTTAAAGCACACCACACCCCTCTTCACCGCCCTTCACCCCGACCCACCCCTCAGGCTCTATCAACGCACGACTGCCTGTACGGGAATCGTCACGGGGCGCGGTGGCTGCTCTTTGCTGACCTGGACGAGTTTGTCGAGGTGCTGCCGCCTGCCACGCTCCAGCAGCTGCTACAGGACAACGCCGGCCGCCCGTGGATCACGTTTGGGTGCACGGTGTTCAACAGCTCGTTCTGCCGCCCGCAGGAGCCGTGGAACGGCGGCGCCACTAGGAGAAGAAGGAGGATGTTGCTACAGGGGGAGGGGCAACAGGGAGAGGGGCAACAGGGGGAGGGGGAACAAGAACGTGGGCTTTTGAGGCGCTTCAGAAGGCACCCAGAGGAGCCGTGGAATGGCGGCACGACAAGGCGAAGAATGAAGAGGATGTTGCTACAAGGGGAGGGGCAACAGGGAGAGAGGGAACAACAAGGCGGGCTTTTGAGGCGCTTCAAAAGTCACCCAGAGGAGGGGAAGGGGGAGGTGGAGGAGAATGGCGGCACGGCAAGGAGAAGAATGAAGAGGAGGTTGCTGCAGGGGGAGGGGGAACAGGGAGGGGAAGGGGGAGGTGGAGGAGGAGGGGGGGATTGGGGCTCTGGTGGTGACGTGGCTCCATCAAGGCCGTTCATAGTGGAGGGGGTGCGGTCCCAGTGGCCGCACGCCTACTGCATGAACACATCCCTCTACCCGGACCACCTGTGCCTCGACCAGTTCGGCCACCGCAAGTACATCCTCAACCCGCGCCGCGTCTCCCTCGCTCAGGTCAGTCAGTGCAGTCCACCTTACTCCTCCCTCCCCCCCCCCCCCCTTCGTGCGTTCCCGCTGAACCTCACGAGATGATACGGCTTTTGAGTTGACTCAAAGTCGTCCGTATCTTTGCCATGCATTCCCCCTCAACCGCACGCCGGGTTTCCTTGTGAGTCCATCACAGGCCAAGTTCATTTCCCACCCCTACTCCCGCTCGCCCCATGCCCCCCTCGTCCCATGCCCTCCTCGCCCCATGCCCCCCTCGTCCCCCCGTCTGCCGCGCCTCCCTCTCACAGATCCATGTGAGCATTGACCGTGACATGTCATCATGGGCCGTGACATGTCATCATGGGCCGTGACATGTCATCATGGGCCGTGACATGTCATCATGGGCCGTGACATGTCATCATGGGCCGTGACATGTGATAAAAGTTGGCTTTTTTGTTTAGACGTCTCAAAAGTCAACTTTTATCACCTCGCCCGACATGCTCCCCTCGCCCCCCTGTCTGCCGCGCCTCCCTCGCACAGATCCACGTGATCATCGGCGGCGATATGGACGGCCTGGATCTGCCGACGGACGTGGCGAGATTCGCGCACTACAGGGGGCTGACAACACGCGGGTACCCCATGTGCGACCTGGGTGCTCCCAGCCGCTGGTGGCGCTACCACGATGGGGTGGCACGCATGGCCCAGGCTGCCCGCTCCTGCCCTGCTCTTGTCACAGCCGTTCCTGAGGTGAGGCGTGCTTGAGGCGTGCATGTGACAGTGTTTCATGAGGGGGTGGTGGTGGCACCTAGAGGGCATGGGGGTACCCCATGTGCGAACTGGGGGCGCCAAGCCTCTGGTGGCGCTACCACGACGGGGCAGCAAAGATGGCCCAGGCTGCTCGCTCCTGTTGCTCCGGTCCCTGAGGTGAGACGTGTTCTCAGCCATGAACGCACGCGACCTGAGGTGAGGCGTAGTCCGAGGCAATACAGGGGGCTCTTGGCAATACAGGGGGCTCTTGGCAATACAGGGGGCTCTTGGCACGGGTGACGGGGGTACCCCGTGTGCGACATGGGTGCCCTGAGCACCTGGTGGCGCTACCATGATGGCGTGGCCTGCATGGCCCACGCTGCTCGCTCTTGCCCTGCTCTTCTGGCTTGTCTCACGTGCACGTGCGCACACGCACTCACACACGCACGCAAGCACGCACACACACACTCACACACACACACACTCACACACACTCACATACACACATTCACACACACACACACTCACACATACACTCTCTCTCTCTCTCTCTCTCTCTCTCTCTCTCTCACACACACACACACACACACACACTGTTCCCCTCTTGCCTGCATGGGCCATGACAAAACCAACCTCCCCCACGCCTCCCTCACTACCCCTTTTCCTCCTCACCCCCTTGCCTCCTCAACCCACCCCACCGCACATGCAGCGCTGCACAGCGCAGGCTCTTGCGAGCAGCATTGCATGATCGTCGTGACACCTCCGGCTGGCACTCGCTAGTCAAGTGGGTTGACCTCCAGTGTGAGCCAGCCTTGCCTCGTCTGAAAAGTTCCTGCAGCCATGTATTGGCTGGTGCTTGCGTGTGTGTGTGCCACAGCAAAAGCTTTATTCTGCTGAAAATTGCAATCCTTTCCCAGGTCATCAATCGTAGCACTACCATATAAATAAAGCAAGAATGGACCAAGCGGCTTTTCAAGATACCCGTAATCCCAGCATCAGTTCACCCTCCATGACACTTCACAATATTTCACCTGTCCAAGAACTGCCATGCGTGAAAGAAAGTTGGTGACCCATGCGTAACAGCATTAATAAGTTACACCAATACGTAAGCAACGATAGAGAGCGGTTCTTCCAAATTCATCCCCATCGCTTGATTGAATGCAACAAAATTTGCCAACCATGGCACGGATTTCTAATCGAGCAGCAAAGCAACTACCCCGAATGGCAGATTGGAAGGGCCACCCAAACCTGCTGCCATCCATGGTGTTAGCATGTGCCTGTATGTGCGTGCAAGGTGGGGTGTGGATTTATCATCAGGGTACCCTATTGGATGAAGGCGTGACGCCTTGGCGCGGTTTTTTTTACGCGCCTCAAAAAGGGCGTGTGGATGGATGCGATGGGTGGTTATTGCAGCATGCCGTTGGAGAGAGGGGTGACGCCTTGGCTAAGCACCTGGTGCAGCGCTGCCACGGCCTCCTCTGTGTCCCGCACCTCCGATGATGCACTGAATGACAGCCGCTGCACATTGAACTGGTTGGGGAAAGATGGGGGGAAGGGTTGGGGAGAGGGGTTTGTTTGAAGCACAGACAACACACAAGAAACCCACAGCAACGCCATACCTTGGCCCCACAGGAAGCACCAACAGCACTACACAATCATAGCTCCGCCCCATATCTTAGCGCCGTGCCAACAGCAGCCACTCACCTTAGCGCCATGCCGGACACGGATGTCAACACCCTTGCCGTCGATGCTGATGAACAGTGCATCGTCCACAGGCTGCGGCAGGATCGACACCAGCTGGCGCTTCAGATCCGATCCCAGCCGTACGTTCAACTCCTGCTCAACGGGAGGCACAGGATTGTTTGTTTGTTTGTTTGATTTTTTTTTTTTTTTTTCGAAGCCCATAAAGATCCGAACCCCAAGATCAAACCCCAACCCAGCTGTACATTCTGCTCTGCTCCTGCCTCACAACCCACATGCAGCCCACTGGCAGTCCCTTGTGCCTTCCACCCCATCCCTCTTTCACGCACGATGTGCCCTTGGTGTTGTGCAGCGCAATCGCATCCGGTGTGGCATCATGGTAGTGTGTCATGTCACACCCCCGCCCACCCACGCCCCCACTCACATGCAGTATGGCCTCGGAGTCATGCAGCACGATGGCATCCGGTGTGGCAGCAAAGTGTGTGCGACGGACCGACCCACCCACACACCCACCCACCCACCCACCAACCCACCCATCCATCCACCCACCCAGCACCCAACAGCCTCCCTCCACCCCCCATCCCCAACTCACATGCAGAATGGCCTCAGAGTCATGCAGCACGATGGCATCCGGTGTGGCAGCAAGGTAGTCCTTCACATCAATCCACGCCACCGTGCCAAAGCCGCCCACGAAATAGATGTCACTGCACATTTAAATAAAAAGAGAGGAAGTGGGTTTGAAACGTCTGCAAAATTAAAGAAAACACAAGGGTAGTCTTAGCTCCTCCACACCTGTGCGACAACCCAACCAGATCTGCTGCATGCGGTAGTAGCTGACGTTGCCCCACACCTGCATGGCTAAAACCCTATCTAACCCATAGGGGGCTGGTAACCCAACCAGATCTGCTGCATGCGGTAATAGCTGAAGTTACCCCACATCTGCATAGCTAAAACCCTGACTTACCCAAGAGGGGCTAGTAACCCTACCAGATCTGCTGCATGCGGTAGTAGCTGAAGTTGCCCCACATCTGGGCGGCGCCGTGGTGGTGACGGCGGGCAAAGAAGCGCTGCGCCCACTGCTGCTGGGACGGCGGCACCGGATACACGTCTCCAAATATGGTGGCCCGTGCGTTGGCCAGCCCACTCCACCCTGGGATCTGGTACAGTGGGGAGGGGAGTGGAGGGTAGCATGAGGGAAAGGATGGAGAGGGGAAGGTGGGAAAGAGCATGGTTGCTGAGACGTGTGTATCGGCTGACTGGGGCGGCTGAAAAGCTGGGCCTCCTCACAGAAGCGCTGTGCCCACTGCTGCTGGGACGGCGGCACCGGATACACGTCTCCAAATATGGTGGCCCGTGCGTTGGCCAGCCCACTCCACCCTGGGATCTGGGAGAGGGAGGGGGAGTGGAGGGCACGAGTGTAGGAAGGGGGGATGCACCCAAGAGTAGATTGAGCGTCGAGCAAGCTGAGCAAGTGGAAGCTGTCTAGTAGCCTGAGACCACTGCTGCTGGGAGGGCAGCACAGGAGAAAAACTTGGTGGCACGTGCATTGGCCAGCCCGCTCCACCCTGAGATTTGTGGCTCAATCAGCAGCAAAACTGAGTGGTCTCAAATGTCACAAGTTTTGATACGTCTCAAAAGGGGGTCAATCAGCAGCAAAACTGAGTGAAAGAAAAAAATCACAGGAAAAAACACGTGTCTGCGAAAGCAAAGAGATGGAGAGTGGAATACAAAGAATGAGAATGGTGAGCGATGGCATGCACGAGTGGTTACCTGAACAACAAGAGTGCAGCGAGGGTCTGCAAGCATGTTGCGCGTGTGTATGGAGAGAGGCGAGAGGAGGAATATGGGATCTGCACACAGAGAAGCAGAAGCAGACAATACACATACATGAATTTTTTTCTGTTTTAAAAAAAGAAATGGTGGACGAACAAACCAAATCATTAAGGGAAAATTCCAGTTTCAGGTTACTTGATAAAGGGAAATGGATGAGCTACAAACTGGTTCACTTTATTTTGGAACCCCCCCACCCCCCAAAAAAAAAAAAGTTCTCGAGAATCAGATCAAATTTCTTCACTGCAAGGAAGCCCAACGAACTAGAGCCCAGAGCAGAGCCTCCGTAGGTATGCACGAGGAGGCTTCACCCAACGAACAACTTATGGCCCTTGAGTTTGAACCTCCCCACTTACGGCCCTCGTCGTCGGTGGCAAAGTCGACGAGCGAGCCAAACGGGTAGCCCTTGCGGCGGTGGTGCATGCGCGACATGATGCTGCACAGATGGGCGAAGCGCGCCTGTGTGGTGCACAGGGGGGACAAAAAAGAAGAGGACATGGGGGGGAGGTGCCTTGACATACGGTTGAATCGTGGCAAGCACCTGCATTTTTGGAGTGGCACCTGTCCCGCATGCACACACTGGACGCGGACAGTGTAGTTTTGAGACGTTTTGAGACGTCCTGAGACGTTTTGAGACGTCCTGAGACGTCTTGAGACGTCCTGAGACGTCTTGAGACGTCTCAAAACTACACTTTTATCTCGTCGTGGCAAGCACATACAATCTTGGAGTAGCACCTGTCCCGCATGCACACACTGGCCGCGGACAGCCTGCCCGTGGCACATACTGCTTGCTCCACAAAGCACCTGCCCCACACACCACCTGCCCCACACACACACCGGCCATCTCACCTGCTCCACCAGGTTGCGAGACACATACCACCAGCCCCACATACCACCTGCCCCACATATCACCTGCCCCACATACCACCTGCCCCACATACCACCTGCCCCACATACCACCTTCCTCACACACACCACCTGGCCCCACACACACCACCGTCTCACCTGCTCCACGAGGTTGCGCACGGCAACAGCAGGCGAGGGCAGCCCGTGGGAGGCAGTGGCGCTCTGCACGCCCCCCGACACCGGCACTCGGTACAGCCCCGCCCCCCCGCTGGCTCCCCCACTGCTGCCACTGCTGCTGCTGGCGCTGCTGCTGCTGCTGCTGCTGTTACTTCCTGAGATTACCCCTGAAGCTGCTCCTGCTGCTGCTGCTGCTGCTGCTGCTGCGTATTCTGCTGCTCGGTTCTCCGGGTTTGAAGGGCCTTGGTCCGATGAGTAGAACTGAAACTGACAGGGGTGGCGAGAAAGCGCGGGAGAGTGTGTGCGAGTGTTTTCTTGCATATCTGCTTACTAATAATTCCAAGTAAACATCTGACCCTGCTTGCTTGTAATTCCAGATTTATCCAAAAACATGGACCTTTCGAGAAAGGAGGGATGTGCGAGGAGGGAGGGGCAACAGAGTGAAACAGAGTAGAAGGTGGATGGGGTGGGGGCTGGATTGGTAGGAATAAGAAAGGGGCAAAAGTGAGAGAGCAAGAAAAGGAGAGGGCAAGGGAATGTTAACTCACCCCGTTATCAAGCGAAATAGATCCACCCTCCACCAGATCATCCTCCCCCTCCTCTCCTTCCCACTCCTCTCCTTCCTCCCTTTCCTCGCCACCCCTATCCCCTCCATCCCTCTGCTCTTCTTCACCCCACCCTTCTTCCGAACCAATTTCTTGCTGTCTCTCCCCATTCCCCACGCCCGCCCACCCACTCCCAGCCCTGACCCGCCCTCTCCGCCCTCTCCTGCCCGCTCTGTCCGCTACAGCGGCGCTACAGCCAACGAGCGGGGGAAGCGGGCGCGCGGGGGAAGAATGAGCGGATGCGCGGGCGGATCTGGATAGGTGTTGGCGCGCTATGGGCGGAGGGACGGGGCAGAAGTTGGACACGTGGCAGCTTCTGCTCGTAGCGCAACAAGGCGGCGGTTGGAGGTTGATGGCTGGGGGTGGTGGGAACTGGGATGGGCGCAACTGGAAGGGAGCACTGCGCGGAAGAGGGAGGGGGCGTGGGGAGAGGGGGCGAGCGAGAGGAGAGGGGTGGAGGGGTGGAGGGGATGAAAAAGGGGACAGGGGGGAGGAGAATGGAACTTTACATTGGCGGAGGGTTTAAGCGGCAACTAGTCAGAAAGAGCGGGGAGGGAGGAAAGTGACGAAAGAGGAATGGTTGGAGGGGGTGGGGGCGTAGTACCGAGGGTTTATGAACCGAGGAGAAAGGGTTTGAAAATGCAATGGCGAGGTTTAAGGGGACACGTAACGCAATACGCGGAGGAATGCTGCACAAATGCTACATGACTCCACACACACGTTGTGGGGAGGCGGGCGAGGAGAGAAAAAGCAAGTGTTAAGACTCGCTTGCTTGCTTCAGTAAGGAAGCTTGAACTAGGTAGCTATAACTCCCTGCTTTCGTAAACCTCCTGTCGTCGCACATACATGGCTTTCCTCTGCTTTGTTTATGATGTCCGGGTAATAAAAAAAAACATGCACGCCACCTCTTTCTTGTGGTTATCTATCTCTTTCTCTCAACCCAAAACTCGGCTCCTCTCTTATGAGAATCCTTCGCAAGCTCGCGACAAACAGACGCCGTTTTGTCTTCAGCACCCGCCGCAAGTTGTTTCCTCTCGATCAGTTATGTTGTTTCCTCTGGATCAGTTATGTTGTTTCCTCCCCCTCCCTCCTCCCCTCTTCCCCCTTCCTCTTTCCCTCCCTTCCCTCCCTTCCCTACCTTCCCTACCTTCCCTCCCTTCCCTCCCTTCCCTCCCTTCCCACGCCCCCTCCCTCTTCTCTCCCCGTTGTCTGTCGGTTGTACTGCGGAAAGACTCGAAGTTGATTTGCGTCCACGTTATAGACTCACCTGTTAGCAGATCCCAGTCGGATCGGCGGATGCATTCTGGCGGTCTGGCTGGCGGGGCTGGACATGCTGCTCGCCCCGACCGCTGACTGCATTCCCGCGACTGAATCGCACCGCAACGCGCGACGAGGCGACGGAGGTCGAATGAACTGGATCGCACAACCACCCACGGCGACGCAGATCAAATGGATCCCACCGAATGGAAGGTGGTCGAGGTCGAATAGATCTCGCCGAACGCAAGGCGACAGGGGGAGAATGGATCGCTCCGCCAGGAAAAGCAAGCAACTGGACCGAGACGGCAAGGGGAAGCGCTTCTCGAGGTGTTTGGAAGGATCGAATCTGGATCGACGCGAGGCAACGCGTTACAGTTCGCAGGTCGTAAGAATGCGGACGACGCCGGAGAGTAAAGTGGGAAAGAGAGATGGAGGTAACGCGAGATGAAAGAAGAAAAACCGACGACGACGACAGTGGACGAATACGAACGATAAGGATGCGGTCTGATAGTTGTGATCACGACCGTCGTCTCAACTATGAAGCGGTCCTCCTGTGTACTTCACAGCTGTGCTTGCTAGCTGCAAGTTCCAACAACATTCGAACGGTGGCAAGGAGTTTTCTGTCTTTGCTCTGGAAATAGAGTGAAAGTGTATGCAAAACCCGACTAGGTTGGTAGGTACAACTGAGTGATTTTTTTGCAATACAGATTAGCAAATAAAGAAAGGGATGCACAAGTGGTTGAGAAAAACACGTCAGAAAAGCAAAGTCCGAAGTTAGTACACCCAGAATTTCGCGGAGTTGTTATGACTAGTCCTCGATTTTGGGTGTGACTCCTAAGCGGGCATGTATGCATTCGCTGGAGCTGGACATCCATGCGGAGAAAGAAGCGCAGCGATGGGCTTGTTGCTGAGTCACACTTCAACACGTGGCAAATGATCTCGCGTGGCGGCTGTTGGTGGAGGGTTCCTCGCTATGACTAACTCCGCCATTTTCTTTACGGATATGTTTACGGAGAGCAACAAATTGACCATTGCCCACCCATTCGCGTCCGACTAAGCACACAACACTAATTTGTGAAGCAGACAGACGTGCATTTCCAGACTAGGCTAGCAAACCAGGAACATCAAATGCGAGTGACAGCAGCGTGGCTTCAGATGCCTTCAGCCGTTTTATGCTCTCCTCCAGTCGAACCCTACGCTGCTGATCAACAGCCTTCAGGGCTGCTATCTTAGATATGTCTCCAGCATGAATCTCCCGCCACACAGCACCATCAATGCCATCCAGGAGAGCATTCTCAAGGCACATCCGAATCTCCATGGGGATCACATCACACAACCTCTTGTGCATCACCTTGGCATAAGAAAACATGTTGATCTGAAGATCCCTCGCAGCCTGGTCGTCGTTGCTTATCAGATTGGCGAGTGAAGCAGTGCTGGAGGCGAAGTCTCCAATAGAAGGAATAGGAGGGGGACCTTGCTCCGAGCTACCAGGCTGCCCTTTCTTGTATTCGGCCATTTTCACATGGATTTGAGACACCGTGTCCATGTAGTAATGGTTGAGCGTAAAGATCACCTTCTTCTCCTTAGTCAGCATGTCTTGAATGAAACGGCTTGCTGACTCCTTAGCCTTCCTCAGGGCATTGAGGCCTTGAAGGTGAGCCACGTTGTTCAGCCCAGGGTAAATCCCACAGATGTGTGATGCCACAGCCTGCTGCACCTCGGTTGCATAGGCGAAACAGTCGTTCACTAGGAGCAAGCACGGCCCTTCAACACTGTCCACCACCTCCTGGACAAGCTGCTTCACCACAGCCTGGTCAAACATGTTTGGGAGCGAAATCCCAGCCACCTCTTTCAAAGCTTCTTTACACCTTTCAGAGTAGTCGGTTCCAAGGAAGTCCGGAAGGACACCCCTCATCTGCACCTCGAATTTGTTGAACTTCTCATGCAGCCTGGCAGCATAGTGCATCGCATCATCACTCTGAAACGGGCCATACTTCCCACCGATGACACCACTCATCATGTCCCGTCTCTTCTGGATCGTTGAAGAAACAATCCCCAATGCTGAAGCGTTAGAGGTGGCAGCAAACGGGATAATCTCAAGTTCAGACTCCTTACCAACAAGAGCCTTTTGAATGGCCTGTCTGATCCTTGGGATGCTGTCTGCAACCCTCTTGGCCTGAATCTCCGTCAGCCTTTGAGCAAGGGCTGGAATTCCGAGGCAATGGGGCTCAATCTGGGACAATTCAGGATGGTTGTTGAAGAAAGCAGCTTCCGCCCTTCTTGCATCGTCATGAGATGCATCAGCGTCTGTCTTGTTCCGGACACACACATAGCCAAGCCCAATCCGCACCGAATTTCCTTGAATTTTCTCATAAAGGCCATCAGGAGCCCGATCAACCTTGGTGACGACAGCCAGGGTGCGATCTCCATCCTCGTCAACCTCTTGCGACATCACAATGGACTCGCATGTCGTGAAATCCACCTCAGCTGCAAGAACGTTAAGAATTACACTCTCTTCCGGAGTAATGTAATGCATGATCATTGCCTTAACCTGGTCGTAGATGTCCTTCGGCTGGTCCTCAATAGGAACACGTGTAATTCCAGGCAGATCCACCAGCGTCAGATCAGGTAAGTCGGGGCGCTGCACTTGCAGGGTAATTGGGCAATTCATCACGCCTTTCCGGTTCCCAGCCAAGGCCACAGTCGCCTCGGAAATCTCCTGCTCAATCAGTTCTTCATCAGGCAAGACTTTGGACATCTTACCGGTAAGGGGGGTGTATTCGATCGTTATCATTTCCTGTCCTTTCACACATGACTGGAGCCTCAAGATCAGTGGCACTCGAGTGACAATTCCCTTGCCTCTCGGCAGGCTGATTCCAGACAGGTTTTCCAAAACGGAGGACTTGCCGCTGGACTGATCACCGACCACAACGATCGTTGGGAGCTCGATCCCCTCTTCCTTGAGACCTAGAAGCCGGAGCTTGTCGATCGCATCCAGCATCGGACGGACATTCTCATTGAAGGAAGAGATGAGAGGAGCCATGGTGAGGCGAGGAGGGTTCAACTGTGTAGGACTGGGAATAGGAGTAAAAAGAGAGGCTAGAGAACGTAGCATGCTTCGCAACAATGACACTTCCTTGAGCTAGCTTTTCATATTCGCCAGAAGCGGGTCCAGAGTAGCAGCCAAGAACAATCAGTGAGCCCACCCCTGTCATGTCGCGCACTGGCAGCAGTACTCACGATCCTGGCAAGGTGCATTCGGTCGGCTTAATCAATGCAGGAGAGGGTGAACCCGTTCGAGGCGGAATGTGGTGCATGTGATTCGCCATGCTAATTAGTTTGCAAATCGTGAACCTTGGAAATTATCGATGCGTAATAAGATGCTCCTAAAAAATAAGGGAGGAGGGAAGCTGGCAAGTTCCGACTGTGGGCGTGGAGAAGGCGTGGGTCGAATCACGGGTCCAAGACTGTAAGCAAAAACCGGGTTCAAGATGTCGAGAGAATACCTTCGTGGGAAAACGGCAATCTCTAAATTGTAATAGTCTCGTCGTGAAACTATGAGAACCTATAGCACACGGAAACGCAAAGAACGAAGCTTTTGAGGTATGAACAATCGAAACTGATAGATTCGGAGAGATCAACATCGACGAGTGGTTCGGTGCAGGCACTGCCAGCTAGTATCTCGTGCCAAGTGATATCAAGGCGGAATATTCGAGGCTAGATGGGGAATTGAATTTTTGGGCGTGACGAGGAGGGAGGATATTTGCTCTGCGAACTGGAGTCGAAATCGCTGACAGATGATCTGTACAAGCCGAGCCAGAATGCACTTCGAGCACGAGTACAGTACTCAGGGTTGAGTGCCAGAATTTGTAGCACAGCTGCTCTCAAACAGTACAGTACATGTCTGTGATGGTAACCTGATGAAACCTGGACGACCTGTACGAGCCTGGGGTCAACAGTGTTGCCTAGCATGAAACTGGAAATGCCAAGGTACAGTCCCTCGCTCCACCCATTCGTACAACTCATGTGTGACCAGATCCTGCTCCAAGCTCCGTGCCTTGGCTGTCTTCAGCCCTCCATCAATACAGCTCGTTTACTGGCTTGGATTGCCTTAGCCGCTCGTCGCAATATATCGTAGACTGCGGAAGGAGATATGGCCGACGATGCAGCACCAGAAGTGGTGCTGGATACAACAATGGGACAAATAACAGTCGAGGTAGGTTATAGGTTGAGCGTAGTTACCGTTGAGGGTTGCAAAGAGTACATCTTTGTCGGTCACAATATATATTTTTCACGTAGCGGCCGCCGGTATTGATATAACTATCGTTTGGCGATTTGCGCCAAACTTGAGGAATCCGAATCCGATTTCATACATTCCCTAAACATGTGCTTTTACCAATAATGCATCGGTTCTCCTTCCTCGTCCGCACCCTTTCCAAATCACCTTGCGAAGCACTGTGCAGTTGTACCACAAGCACGCTCCCAAGACGTGCAGAAACTTCTTAGAGCTCTCACGGAGAGGGTACTACAATGGGACCAAGTTCCACCGAGTGATTAAGGTGAGCTGGCAGCGCGAGATACGGTGAGCTGTTGAACCCAGCGATCTATTGGAACTGCAAATTGAGTGATCAAGTCCATCTGGCACCATTCCGGCTGGTGACTAAGCAATGCTTAAATCCTGTAGACTATTGCAGGGGCCGAGATTAGCGTTGGACCCTAGACAAGGTTTTGGTGGCAATTATCTTATTGTTTCCGTCGGTTTCCAGTCACTGCTGCTGTGACCAATACTGCTGCTTCAGCAGAAGCTCATATTTGCCATTTGAAACATTAACTTCTCCGATTCACCCGTCACTTCTGCATTGTGCATTGGCAGGATTTTATGGCTCAAGGCGGTGATCCCACAGGGACTGGACGAGGAGGCGAGTCCATCTATGGGTGAGTGATTCTTTAGGCACCTTAAGGTTCGCTGGGTGTAAGGAAGCCAGGAAAGTGTTGGGTGGAGTGACATGCATCCCACTGTCCATGGATATGTGTTCAACCTCTCCGTTGCACTTCCGAAGTCCTTAGGTCTCAGATCAGAGTCACCTTACTCTCCACTGCTCCTCTCATCATCCCAATCACATAACTCTCGTTCCTGAGCCACCTCTGAAGTCGATATCACTGACCCCAGTCATCTCTTCTCCTCCTGACTCCCAACCCTTCTGTTGTGTCCCCCCACGGCCCAGAGCCAAGTTTGAGGACGAGATAACACGTGAGTTGAAGCACACGGGTGCCGGTGTGCTGTCCATGGCCAATGCCGGGCCCAACACCAACGGCAGCCAGTTCTTCCTCACTCTCGCCCCCACTCCCTGGCTCGATGGTGCGTGGCTTGAATTCCTTCGTCCTTACTCCCTGGCTCGATGGCGAGTGGATTGAATTATGTCATCCTTACTCTCTGGCTTGATGGTGCATTCACTGATCACCCTCGCACCACTTCAGAACTGCCTCAACAATTATAGATTCAACACTCAACGCCTCAAATGCACTACACAGAAGATTTGAGAAGTTGCTAGATTGGCTATATCCTGTCCTGTCTCACTCAACTCTCTTGTTGCACTGCAGGCAAGCACACAATATTCGGTCGTGTGTCGCATGGAATGGACGTGCTGAAACGGCTGGGCAACGTGCAGGCCGACAGGACTGACAGGTGATGCAGCAGGAATGGGATGCGTTCTTGCATGCATGCACAGTAACCCAGTACTCTTCCCCGCTAGTGGGTGATGCAGAGCTCTTTCTGACCTTCGTGATTTTGTCCTTTTGTGTCAGTCTTACTTTTCCCGTCTCCGCCGGTTTGCGCCGTCTCGCCTCACCTCACTCCGATTCTTCGCTTGGTGCTGTGCTGTGCAGGCCCATCCATGATGTGAAGATTATCAAGGCAGTTCCAAGAGACTAACCTAGATCTTTATTGTGTGGCTGGTTAGGGGATCGCAGTATCTAGTTAGCGTCAATAATATATGGTTTCGTTAAAATGCCTCAACAACTCCCCTCATGCTTTGCAGTGCACATCTTACATTTTTACATTTAGTTGAAAAGTGCACTGCTCCTAGCCACATACGGGGATAGCTTGATCAACAGCCCCGACACCTTTCTGTTGATCACCTCAGCACCATTGAGCAGCACCAGCCTCCATGGCGCCATCAGCGCGCTCCGTCATCAGAGCTCGCTTGCTCCTGCAGTCTAACCCCTCCGCGAGTTACGCCGAGTACACCTGCCGCGTCGCATTCCAGGCACATTCGCGTCGGTACGTTCGTTCCTAGTCGCACTCAAAGCAGCCTGCCGCGTCGCATTCCCGGCTCGTTGAACATGTCCCCGGGAATCTCCTTTCTTAGCTACTACATGGCAACGTTGATTTGAGGCGAGAAATCGCTTACCGTGCGGGCCCGTGATTTGCGATACAACTCTTTCCACTCTGACTGCGTCTCTCATGATCCTCGCTAGTGCCCTTTGCCCACCCGCGTATTTCTCGCACTCTTCAACCCTCCCCTCCTCCCCCTCCTCCAATTCCTTCCTAGGGATGGCGTGTGTGACGCGTACATTGCATCTGGACGTCAGGTGTATCACTGTCAAATGCCAGTAGGCCAGGAGAATTTGTTGCAACAGGGCAAGGCGCAGGTGCTTCTGCCGCACCGTGTCGAGGTGGGTTCTGTTGATTGACACTGTTCATGTGGGATCTGTTATGCACATTGTTCGGGTAAGTTGACTTACCCTGTTCACTTGACCTTGTTTATTCACATTGATCTTTTTTCAAGTTGGTTTAAGCCATTCAGGTGGGATTCCGGAAGTTTCTGCTTCCATCATATGAATGCCGCCTCATCATCATACCACCTCTCCATGCCACGTGTCCACACCATGCTACTTGTCACCTTTTCTGGAGACGTCTCGAAAATCACATCATGCTGCTTGTCCAATTCTCCCCACCTCTCCTCTCCCCTCCCATCCCCCTCCCCATCCCCCTCCCCGTGTCCCCCCCTCCCCCCCTTCCTCCCCTTCAGGACGTCACACCAGTGCCTGTCCCCTCTCTCCTGCACGCACTGCCCGTGCAGAGCCTCGCATCTGCGGCCCTGGGAGGCACCGGAGGGCGAGCAGGTGAGCAGGAGTGGTGCTGATGAGCAACACGTGGCTTACATGTGTCAGGCTCAAGAGGATCAGAGAGGCAGAACTGGAAGAGCGCATCTGCTCATTTACATCTGACTCTCTCTCGCACGAGCATATGGCTCACCTGTATTTTAGTAGCCACAGCACAAACAAAATATCTATGCAAACTCGTTCGATCAAGAGCCCCCACCTTTGCTCTTCTCTGCCATGGCTTCATCTCTCCCCCCCTTTTGACTTCTCTTTGCATGACCTTGCTTTCCCTATTCTCTTGGCAACTTCCCTTCCCCTTCCCTCATACACCCTTCTCTCCTCCCCCTATCCAATCTTGCCTCCAGCCGCCACTCTCCTTTCCTCTGTGGACTCACTTGGTCGAGCCATCGTCTCCACCTTCTCCTCTTCATCTGGTAAGTCAGCAACGTCAACCGAGTCAACCGAGTCAACCAATTCAGCTCTCGTTTTCCTTTTCAAGCTCTCATTGTCACTTGCATTTTCTCCTTGGTTGGCCAAGACAAGTGCACGCCACCATGCTGCTGCTCTCCACCCCTCCCCCCCTCCCCTCCCCTCCCCTCCCCTCCCTTCCCCTCTCCCCCCCCCGCGTTTCAGCAGCAGCAACTATTGGTTCCATCTCCCACTCTCCCACTCTTCCTCGTCTCTGCGACTCCTCCTCATCTCTCCCATCGATAGCCTCACACATCGCAGTGCCTCTCGACTCCCTCGGCCACCTCTCCCCTTCCACTGCGGGACGTTAAGGTTCCCAACTGGGACCATGCTGCTCATATGCTTCTGCCATCTTCCTCCCACCCTTCCCTTTCCCCCCATCTCCCCCATCGCCCCGCACATGGCAGTGACTCCTGACTCCCTCTGCCACCTCGCCCCCTCCCCCTGCGGCATCACTGAGCCAGGCCCATGCTGCACTGCCATCTCCGTCACAGGACCCTCCACCATCCGGGTATGGCTCACGTACCAAGTGCTCATTGTGCTCTGTGTGTGTCAGTGTATGTTTTGATTGTACCGTGCAAGTGTCCGTTTCCCCCTGCGGCATCACTGAGCGGGGCCCGTGCTGCACTGCCATCTCAGTCACAGGACCCTCACCCTTTGAGTATGGCTCACGTACCATTGTACTGTCTGAGACTGAGTGTACTTTAATCAAAATGTATCGTGTAGGTGTTTGTTTGCCCCTTGCGGCGTCACTGAGCCGGGGAGGGGACTCTGCTGCCATCTCTGTCACAGGGCTCTCGACCCAGAAGAATACAGTGGTACAGCAAAAAAATATTCAGTGGTTCAGTGTGAACGTACAGTGTACAGTGTGAACGTACAGTGCACAGTGTAAACGTACAGTGTACAGTGTAAACGTACAGTGTACAGTGATGTGTAATTCTTCATGGTATGTGTACAGTGTATGCGCGCCATGAATATTTACATACACTGTGTTTGTGTAAAGTACAGTGTTTATGTACCCCTGCAACATCTCTGACTTGACTTTGATTGACTCGGTTGACTCCACTTGACTCACCCTCTCCCCGCCTTCCTGCCCCCCTCCCCCCTGCACCAGTTTTTACTTCCGTCTTAGTTTTGAGGCGCCTCAAAGCTAGCCTCCCCCCTGCACCAGTTTTTACTTCCGTCTTAGTTTTGAGGCGCCTCAAAACTAGCCTCCCCCCTGCACCAGTTTTTACTTCCGTCTTAGTTTTGAGGCGCCTCAAAACTAGCCTCCCCCCTGCACCAGTTTTTACTTCCGTCTTAGTTTTGAGGCGCCTCAAAACTAGCCTTCCCCCTGCACCAGTTTTTACTTCCGTCTTAGTTTTGAGGCGCCTCAAAACTAGCCTCCCCCCTGCACCAGTTTTTACTTCCGTCTTAGTTTTGAGGCGCCTCAAAACTAGCCTCCCCCCTGCACCAGTTTTTACTTCCGTCTTAGTTTTGAGGCGCCTCAAAGCTAGCCTCCCCCCTGCACCAGTTTTTACTTCCGTCTTAGTTTTGAGGCGCCTCAAAACTAGCCTCCCCCCCTGCACCAGTTTTTACTTCCGTCTTAGTTTTGAGGCGCCTCAAAACTAGCCTCCCCCCTGCACCAGCTTTTACTTCCGTCTTATTCCCCCTCTCTCTAGACCTGCACGACGCAGACTCCACTTCCCCAGCTTCAAAGTGTTTCCCCTCCCTCTTCCACATCACCTCCTCTTCCCCCCCCCCTCTCTCTCCCCGCACCAGGTGGCTACGTCCTGTTTCTTCCCCCGATTAGTAGACCTGCACGACCCTGCTTTCCCCTCCCCCGCTTCCCCCCTGCGCACATTCCACCTGCCCTTCCCCCCCGCTGCTGTGGGCTTCCTGGGGGGAACTGAGCGGGGCAGAAGGGGAGGGAAGCGGAGGGGAGGGGAGATGGAAGGGGAGGGGGAGGGGAATGCGGTTGAAGGGGTGAGGCTGCTGGCAGTGTGCGAAGGGCCTCAGGTGTGTGTGGGTTGGGGTCTCTTTTGTCTCTTTTGTGCGGTGAGGTGTGGTTCGATTATTCAATTGTGTGTTTGTGGGGACTCACGTGCGTGTGGGGTGGTGGGGGGGGCATGTACATGGCTCAGCACAGCTCACATACAGATGCATGTAAGCAAGCCTGCATCACCACATTGAACGCTGAATTAGCAACTCATGCCGGCAGCCTCTGTCTGAAATTTTCCTAGCACCAACGTCTGACGTCACCATGCCATGTCACCATGCCATGTCATCATGCCAGCTCAGCATCTGGGACGAGAGGGCCGCTGAAAACGGTGGCTGCATCCAGCGAATCACCGTCTCTCCCGCTGCCGAGCCTCTCTACGCCCTAGCCTCGACAATAGGCTCGGGAACAGGCTCGGTAACAGGCTTAGTGGCAGTAGGAGGGGCCGAGCGCACTGTAGCTGTGTACGACGTGCGCAAATGGGCGGCGAGAGGCCGATGGGTCGGCTGCGTTCGGCAGGACGTGATGGGAATAGCTTTCCCTGTGGCTGGTGGCGGGAGAGAGGAAGCGAGACAAGAGGGACTGGAGGGTCTTTCATTTCAATCGGATGAATCTGTGTTTGTGTGGAGCGGTGATAATGAGGTGGTATGTGGGAGGTGGACTGAAGGCGAGGGGAGGGCGGGAGGGGTGCGAAGAGCAGAGAAAGGGAGGGGTAAAGGGGGGAGTGGAAGGGGGGGCAAGGGGGGGGAATGGGGAGGGATTGAGGCCGGGGGGAGGGGAAGGGCGCAGCCAAGTAGAGAGAAAGTGAATCAACAGTACAGGGAGCATCAGAACAGGGAGCAGCGGAACAGAGAGGAACAGAATTGTAGAGGGGGCGTGTGTAAAGAGGATGTGGGGTGTGCACACCGGGAGGAGGAGATGGAGTTGGACAGAGGAGGAGGATTGGGAGAGAGAGGAGGGGAGGCAGAGGGGCCAGGGTAGCCGATGGAGAAGCAGCAGCAGAAGCGGAAGCAGCAGGGGAGGGGAGCAAAGGGGCATCGCGAGTGCATCAGTCGTTCCGAGGAGACAGCGCCTGGTGTGGCATTGCAAGGGTGAGTGCGGGAGGGCTACACAAGGGAAATTGCAATTGTGTTTTTTTGCACCAGTCGTTCCAAGGAGACAGCGCCTGGTGTGGCATTGCAAGGGTGAGTGCGGGAGGGCTACACAAGGGAGATTGCAATGGTGTTTTTTTGCACCAGTCGTTCCAAGGAGACAGCGCCTGGTGTGGCATTGCAAGGGTGAGTGCGGGAGGGCTACACAAGGGAAATTGCAATGGTGTTTTTTTGCACCAGTCGTTCCAAGGAGACAGCGCCTTGTGTGGCATTGCAAGGGTGAGTGCGGGAGGGCTACACAAGGGAAATTGCAATTGTGTTTTTTTGCACCAGTCGTTCCAAGGAGACAGCGCTTGGTGTGGCATTGTGAGGGTGAGTGACTCTGAGTCGACTTAAAGGTCAGCAGCAGGGGAGGGGATCAAGCGGGCAACGGGGCGTCGCGAGTGCACCAGTTGTTCCAATGGGTCAATGCCTGGTGTGGCGTTGTGAGAATGAGTGGCCTCTGAGTTGACTCGAAGGTCAACAGCAGGGGAGGGGGGCAAAGGGGCAATGGGGCATCACGAGTGCACTAGTTGTTCCGATGGGACAGTGCGTAGTGTGGCATTGTGAGGTTGAGTGATCAGAGTGGGGAATGCAAGGGTGAGTCGCAGTGGGGAATGCAAGGGTGAGTTGCAGTGGTGAATGCAAGGGTGAGTTGCAGTGGTGAATGCAAGGGTGAGTCGCAGTTGTGAATGCAAGGGTGAGTCGCAGTGGTGAATGCAAGGGTGAGTCGTAGTGGTGATCAAGTGATAACGGATGAAATGGTTACTGCCCTGGTGAATGACAGGGGTGCTCAGCACATGAGGGAAGGGGGTGGGATTGCGTACGATTCATCCTTCAAACGAGGAAAATCTCTTTAAGAAAGACGCGGGTCATCATTGCTCTCTGCTGGGCTGAAGCCTTTGCCACCTCAGCTCGGCCGCTTTCTTTTGCGAGGGCTCGGACGCAAGAACCCTTTCATTTCAACATTGGTCACTACCCTTTGCTTCTACACTTTTGTAATCTTTCTGCTCTCTGTTGTCCTCCCCTCCCTCCCTTCTCTCCCCTCTTCCATAAGCAGGATTTCAACTCCAATCTGCTTGCCGGCTGGTGCATGTCTGGGAGCTTCATACTTGCCAACTGCACGTAGTCCAGTGTTTCTTAGGTTTACATAAAAAATCCACACTTTCAGAGGTAATGAATCCATTGTTTGTCCTTATCATTGTATCTGCCCTAAAGTCTAGACTCCAATGGTTATAAATCAATTCATGGTACCCTATTTATTCATTACCATACCATTCGTTCTACCTGCAGCATATTCACATGAAGCCTTGATGTTCTCGGAGTAGCTGATTCATACTTCATAGAAGCTTTTCATTTACTTGGCAATGCCTCAGCCCATTGAGAAATACATGTATGCGAGCTTAGATAGCTTTCACCTTTTCCACAATCCTTTCAATCACAGAATCCATCAACTCAGGGTGTGCAGCGGGGTCAGGTAGACCCCAATCCTCTACAGTAGTAGTCTCAGGCAGGTCCACCTTGGGTAGGTTCGGCTGCAGGTAGGAAAACAAACGAGGAAAGGCTTAAGATATAAGTAACATACTATATAGTGAGGAAAAGAGCAGAATATGGGCAACATGACTAAGGTTAGAATCATGGCATGATGGAACAACCATCCTGTGGCAAGAATGATTTAGCAAAACAGAATAAAAGTGCAAGGTCCCAGAGAATGCAACTGGAAAATGCGAGTTTCGATATTTCCTGAAACCTCAAACCAACGTACCACATCATGAGCCTGGCCAGACAGACCATCATGACACCAACTCACCAGACAGCCCATCATGACGATAAGATCCCAATTGTTCTCCAGACCCCCAATCGTCTCATCTGCAATACCCTGTGGATTGCAACCAGTGAAAGAGCAGCAAAGAATCAGTCAACGTATTTCAAGACGCACTTCGTGGATGCTAATGATGGCCGTGAAGCATGGAAACCCATGAGCTCCATATGGTGAGTCATTTCTGCTATCTACCTTGGAGCGTGCATGGTCAGTGGGATAGCCACGTGTCTTGAGAGCCTCGATCATGACAGGATTCAGCTTCCCTGCGGCATCCACGCCTGGACGAAAGGCACAGCAACGAGCACATAAACATCATTCGTTTGTACGAAGACGTATCACCAGAACCGAGCATGCTCGTGTCTGTACCCCATGGATCCAGTTTAAGCTTGACGAAATGATTGGAAACGTGAATTGGACATACCTACTCTGGACTTAAAGCTACCTAAACCCTGTGCTACAGAGAGCTGTACAACTGGAATCCAGTGTCAAAAAGTTGTGTCAGAGAGATCAGGGGTCAAAACTTCAAAAACACGCTGGTAACCCTCGCCTCACTTTTAACATTGGAACTCAATGCTCAGGTATGAAGCCATAACCGTTCTTAGAATAATTCAACCCTGTTTCTCGTTCCTTCATGCTCACACATACCATTCACTTTCCCTCTCATCGCTGATAAACAGTCTCTTTCTTCGTACGGTTAACCATTATGACACCTTGAAAAAAAAAATGCTCTCGTTTTACTTCTCAAAATTCCCAATGCTGCCTCACTCAACCGCGTTGATACCGCTCGGATTTGGCCCGTACCTGCGCTTTCGACTTGGAGCTCTGGCCGCAGATGGCGGGCGATCGCTTCGGCGGCGATCGAGCGATTAGCATTGTGGCTGCAAACGAAAAGAACGCGCTTCGTCATGCTGATTGATTACTGCGTATATGGGATAAGCGGGGCAAAGAGTAATGGGAGGGGAGGTGGCGTGGTGTTTGACTTCAGTAACTCCAGCCGACATAACAAATTCCAGAGACACCTGAATGATGACGACGAAGGCTGCGGCCGCATGTCACGAAGCCGTCGATTAGCAAACGATTAACGCGCTATTAGAAAGCAACTGTCGGCGACAGAAAAGCGGCAGCAACCATCAGGACTCACCCAAGGAGACAGCTGAAGACGTGCGGGAAATGGTGCTCGCAAATGCTTTCAGCTTGATTAGCTCCGCTTGATTTAATCTCTCTTAGGCAGCGCCAGCGTGGCTCTAAGTAGCTTTTTGTCCCAGACCAGCCATAATTTCCTAGAAACCCACTTGAAAATACCTCTCTTGTTCCGTTTCCGGAATCTTTCCCCCAGCAGAGATGAAAGAGAATATTTCCGCAATGTTCCCCCTTTCCTCGTATCCTGCCCCCAACCCCCTTCCCCCTCCCCGCATTCCACCTTGCCCTCCCCTCCAACTTTCCCCCAGAAAAGGAATATTCTTTTTCTTGGAATTTCCAGGAAACTCATAATGCTCTGGACCTGTCTGAAGGATGCGAAACAGCCCCACTGTGAATTCAAGTTTTTGAAGTACACCAGAAAGCGCGTTTCTGTGCACATGTACGACCCCATATTTCCGGGTAAATCTGAGCGATGGCAAAAAACTGAAACTGGAAACACTCCGCTTGACCAGAAGCTCTAAAACATAATAGCGGAATAATCATCCGGTTTTAGAGAGGGGATCAGCTTCCATATACTTGACGTGAGAAATTTCTCGTCTACGCTAAAAATGTTTTCTGCCAAGCACCAGGACTACCCGAGATTGTCGAGATTACCGAGATTACGTTACGGTACATCCCTGACTTCCCGCCTCTGCGACAGCGCCGCCAAAAGCTGATGAAACCAACCTCCACCACCACCACCTCTATAAAATCGCTCGGGACACTTCTGCTTGATCCAGCTCATCGTGGCTCGATCCAGTAGTCGCTCGTCTTCTCACTCGCCGTTCAGCTTTCAGTTGCTTTGCCTCACACATCCTCAACTTGCTGCCATCGAGTCTCAGTCACCCCGCGGCGTGTGCCTACGCGATCCGCTCGCGATTTTCTTCTCATCACGCTGCAATGGCGGAGGCTGTAGTTCATGGAGTGGAAGTGCGATGCGTGCCGGAAAATAAGACGCTTCCGTCGCTGCTGGCGTCGTCGGAGCCTGGCGTGAACGAGCAGCAGCTGGGCTTGCGGTGCCGCTTCAAGAGCAGCACCGGCGAGACGGAGGAGTACCCGGCTACCATGAAGAAAGCGGGAAGTGGCGCGACGCATTTCAGCTGCTGCTGCCCGTCCGAGGTACGTCATACGGAGGAACGTCATTCGGAACCAAGTCCATCGGGCAGCAAAGCCGAGGCCACGAGTTTCCGGTTCTACCACTGATATGGGTCACGTGCTCCCCGTCTCCACTCAATTCCGCATTTCCCCACTTACATGTTCCGTCTCCCCAGACTTGGGTTGAACCCCCCTCGCACCACATACCTTTTCTTTACCCCCATTTTCTCTCTCCCCGTACCCTCTCCTCTCTCCCCTCTCCCGTCTCCGTTTCCCACGAAAGGCCGTTCCGCGGACGGACTCGGCGCGCGCGATGCTGGTTTGGGGCGCGGAGGGCGAGGAGGAGGTGGCGTGCCGCGTGGTGGAGGCGCTGGAGGAGAAGAATGCGCCCGCCGTCAAGGAGCTCTCCGCCGCCGGTGGGTTGCTCCATCTCACAGCTTGTCGCAGCGTGTCATGTTACAGCGTGTCATGTTACAGCATGTCACATCGTATCGCACACCTTCTCGGCGCTGCTCCCTCATCCCTGCATAATTCCTTGTCTTTTCAAATTTCTCTTTCTCCCTCTCTCCCCCACCCTTTACCCACCCCCTCTTCCTCCTCGTGTTTACACAATTTCCCCATGCGACAATGTGCAGCCGTGTTTCAAAGCATGTCGCTGCTCGACCGCTACCTGGCCGTGTGGATTCTCCTCGCTATATTTATCGGTGTGCTGCTCGGCTACAACGCCTCGGCCATACCCGGGCTTCCCTGCTCACTCTCTCGCCCATCTCTGCCCCTCCCTTTCCCCCTCCCCGGGCTTTGCACTCTCTCTCACTGTCAAACGTACAGCCGTGTTTCAAAGCATGTCGCTGCTCGATCGCTACCTGGCCGTGTGGATCCTGCTCGCCATGATTATCGGCGTGCTGCTCGGCTACTATGTGCCGGCCATCCGCGACGCCTGGGAGACCGTGTCTGTCGCCAACGTGTCGCTCCCCATCGCCATTGGCCTCTGGTGGATGATGTACCCCGTGCTCTGCAAGGTAGGGTTAGTTACCCCATGCTCTGCAAGGTAGGTTATTTACTCCGTGCTCTGCAAGGCAGTGTTACTTGTCGGGAGACTATTGTGAGCTAGCAAACGGTCAATGGAGCAAGCGAAGTCGGGTTAAACCCGAAGTTCACTCTTTGCTTGCGACTCAGGTGCCTTCTTGACCCCTAAACCCGATTTCCGAACCCAGGATCCAAACCCCAACTTCCGTCCTCTCCCTTCCCCTGTTTGCGCAGGTTCGGTTCGAGCTGCTGCCGAAGCTGTCCCGATCCTGGGGCCTGCGGTTCCACATCGGCATCTCCCCTGGCGGTCAACTGGGTGTTCGCTCCCCTGCTCATGACAGGTGCGTCCCTTTCGATTCATACCACTTCTATGCGCCTTGAAGCACTTGACAAGGTTTATTCACTGATTGTGGTACTTCCGGCATGGGTTGCTCTTTCCATGCCTACATCAAGCCCTCAGCTCCAAGCCATGATCCATACCAAACTCATCCTTGTCTATCCACTCTGTCTCCTTCCATTGCTCCCCTTCCCCACCACCAGGGCTGGCATGGGCCACTCTCCCCGACCAGGCAGGGCTGCGATCAGGCATCATTCTGGTGGGCATTGCTCGCTGCATCGCCATGGTGCTCATCTGGAACCACCTGGCGGGCGGCAACGCCGAGTTCTGTGCCATCCTCGTGGCCGTCAACTCCATTCTGCAGGTTCGTTTGTTCCTGTCCTGTGCCTGTGCTCCTGCTCTGTTTTGCTGTTGCTTTCTGTCTTGCCTGCTGTTGCACCCCATTCTGTAGCTCTCAACTCCATCCTGCAGGTCCCTTCTCGCCCCCCCGTTCGCCTCTTCTCCTCCCCCAATCCCTACACCATCTGCTCATCTTCTCCACTCTTATTTCCCCCACAGGTGATCCTATACTCGCCACTGGCCATATTCTACATTGGGCGTGTCCTTCTGGACCGTCGCTAAGAGCGCGCTCATCTTCCTCATCTGCTCATATTCCTCGGAGTGCTTTTCCTCCCTTATTCCCCACCACAGGTGATCCTCTACTCCCCGCTGGCCATATTCTACATCGACGTGGTGTCTCACGGCGGCTCAGTGGACGTGTCCTTCTGGACCGTCGCCAAGAGCGTCCTCATCTTCCTCGGAGTGCCGCTCGTCGCAGCTGTCATCACGCGCTTCACGCTGCGCGCATTGCTGGGAGCCAAGTGGTACGATGACAAGTTCCTGCCGTGGTTCGGTCCCACGGCGCTCATCGGGCTGCTCTTCACCATCTTGTCATGTTCTCGCTGCAAGGCCAAGAACATCGGAAACAACATTGGCAAGGTACGGAGCTCTCTGTTGCTCTGCTCCCATTGACATGGAGGCCTTTCTTGAGCAATGCAGCTCGTTTTCAGATTCTGGAATTGTTTCACACCATTATGTTTGCACTCCTGGGACCCCATGCAATTATCCTGTCAATAGATTATCATCCACTTGTCCCTTGCCCCCTCTCCATTGCTTCCTTCCTTCAGAGTCGCTCGTGTGGCCGTGCCTCTCCTGATCTACTTCGGAATCGTCTTCTTCAGTGTTCTGGCCCTCTGCTGGCGCCTAGGGTTCGCCTACTGCGATGCCGTCACTCAGTCATTTACCGCAGGGAGCAACAATTTTGAGCTTGCTATTGCCGTCGCAGTGGCGTCCTACGGCATTGGCTCGGATGAGGCATTAGCCGCGGTTGTCGGCCGCTGATTGAGGTGCCTTGTGCTCATTGGATCTCGTTTAGTCACGCTCTGGATTCGGCAGAAGCTCAGTGGAAGAACAAGGGCTGTGCTGGATGCGGATGATTTCCTGGAAAAGG